TGGGGAACAAACGGTATAGTCTTCTGGAACCAAGCGAACAACAAGGAAATTTAGTACGTTTTCAAGCATCTTTGGACAAAAGACCTTTGTTGTTAGGACGCTTAAAAATGACCTGTTCCCACACAGTGCATATCCCAGTGCACAGCTGCGGTCTGTTCTTCCAGCTTGGTGACTCTAAAATTAGAAGGCGCCGCTTGGAAGAACGCCAAGGTAATCATCAGAAGGACCACAGTAGGAGATGACCACAAAAGCGACTATGGGTGATTTGGGGTTAAATTTAGAAACCATCTGTTTAACTCTTGGCATAAATGCATTAAAATCAAACCTTAGGATATCTGAAACCAAATAAAAGAAAGGATGATTCCTGTATTCAGAAACAGCAAAAGAAGTTTCTAAAATATTCTGTGCAGTTTTGAGACTAAATAGTCATAATGGTATAACACAGCAACTATCTATTGCATGTGAAGGTTACATAATAGACTCTTGTTACTCAGTCACTGATTCGCTTAACATCAATTTGCTGCACACCTGTTATGTGTGAGCCCAACCGGGTGCTGAGGGAGCCTGGAAGAGAACAAGCTCATGTACAGGCCATCAAATCTCATAGACATCTGGGAACCTTTCACTCTTTCTTCATGACCACCTGCCAACTAATCCAGCCTCGGAGAGGTCAATCCATCCAAGAAGGCAGGCTCAAAGTGTCGGGCAGCTCTCAAACCTAGGTCTGCCTACACTGAGGGCCTGGATTTGCTAAGATGCACGCTGCTCTCCCACGAGGGGAGGGGAAGAGACAGACACAGCCACTGCTGGGAAGCACCATGGACACAAGGATGCAAACAAACCCCTGACATCAATGGTTCTGCTGTTAGTTCTGCAGGCGAGGACCCAAGCGTCAGTGGAGTCCATCCCCCCATCCCTCCTGCTGGGGCTAGGATCTCGACTATGCCCAAAAGGATGGGTGGAAAACAGAAAATGGACAAATTCCAAAATTAATCATGCAAATATGATTTATTAGGCTTTTAAAAAAGGAATCAAATAAAATCACTAAAGGAAGCCCTTTGACAGATGTCCACTTCGTTTTCTTAATAATTCAAGCCTTTTTCCTTATACACAGAGACACATACATACATGGTAAATAAATAAAAACATGGAAAATTTGTTTCTATAGTCCTGGAATAGCACAATACAAAGACTTAACTAATAACTCTGGGGAAATGATCTATGTTTGGACAGAAAAGAAGGGGATGGGAGGCCTTTGCTGAGTCATTCAGACCTTTCCAGACCTTGCCCAGCAGAGCCAGCAGCAGACCATGTCTGCCCCCAAAGGAAAGGCAGGTGCCTGTGCCAGCACTGAGGACGTGGCAAGGCAACGAAAGACAGTGGAGAATCCCTCTAACGTCGACCAGCGCATTCCCACACGGTCCTCCGCTCTTTTCTTTACTTGTGAAAGTTCACATCCTCAGCTCTGTTTGCCTTCGTGTTGTCAGGTCCTCTTTTCAGATTCACAGCACAGCTTGCTTAAAATCCACAACGCTCAGGTGTGTGCAAAGGGCCACAGTACACACAAGGGCAAGTGAATCCCAGGTAAAAACGCACGGGATGCCCTCTGAAAAACAAGCCCACTGATGGGATAACCTTCAGCAATGATTCTACCAAAATGTGGCTAGGCGATCTGCTTTCTGAATTCTACAGTAACAATGTCTTTAAAAATAAAATCAAGTAAAAGAAGTTAGTGTTTACTTTGGACTGTCATTTCAAAAACTATGTGATGGCTTTGAAAAAAATACAGTATTTCTATGACTTCCATATAAAAATAATGAAGCAAGGACATCACCAGCAGTCTGAAGATAAAGGCAGGAAGCTATTTAGTTCTCTGGCTTATTGTCTCAACCAACTACCTCAAGATAACCCCTAAAAACTTCAGTTTTTAGAGAACAGAAACAAAGCTAAAGAGAGACAGTAAATAAGAATTTACAGTATTCTGAAGGCAGCTTCAAAGAATCTTATCTTCCTCCTTTCATCTCAGGAATTTAAAAAATAAATATAAATAATCCTCAAGAATTCCATTTTGAAGCGCATCCACTTGGCTTCAGAAATGCTCTTTTATATTTATAAAACAGCTGCTTTCTCCTCCGACGAAACCCATTTTCACAGGAAAGGATTAGCACATCTCACGTAAGGGGAATAACAGTGGATACAGATGTCCTGAAGTATATTATAGATTCACCAAAGGTTCCGTATGTAGAATGACCCACTGTAGTCATTTACAGGGAGTAAGAAAGGGCTGGTTAGCGATTTGTGGGACTTTTTAGTGAGAGAAAGATTTACTTGCTGTCTCCCCGATGGGCAAAGCAATAAAACTTTTATGATTGTTTTAATTTTAAAAAGGAACATTGTGAAACTGATCTTTGACAACTAGAAAATAAAACTCAAAGACCCTGATGATCTTTTCCTTCTCCAAACTTCTATTCCCCTCTCTTCTCAAAGGCAGTGGGAAGATACCAGCATTGAGAAGCAGAGACAGGAGAGGACAGAGAAGAGACAATAAAATAATAGCCAGCAAGCCAGGTCGCATGGCTGAGGAGACTCCGCAAGGGACACGCTACGAGGGACTGGGCTTTTCCCAGTGTGGCTCATTCTGCTCTGGTGGGGTCGTCCAGGGAGCAGGGGCCACAGGACCCAAAGTGGGAATATCAGTGAACACCTAAGTCCTCTTATACATAGTAGGAGGACTCTGGATTTATGTCACCCAAAGACATACAATAGGAATTTATTGGGCACCTAAAATAGTTATGGAATAAAATGATTTTCCTAAGAGTGGAAAAAGGACAATTAATTGAAGCTTTCTGAATGCTAACCTTTAGGAGTTCACACTGGGGGAGAGCAGAGGATAAGCCTGGAAACCAAGATGGCACCGGGCTTTGGGACCATAGCAGGGTCCTGGTAGGCCCCCCATCCCAGATACTTCCAAGCGCTGCAGTCATTTCTGAGCTTTTAGCTCCCATTCTTGTAATTTTTCCAGAGGTGGATATAGCTTCCCGGCATCAGAAGGATCCAGGAAAAAACTTAAACATCAGAGACACACATTCCTTCTGAAAGCCCTAGGCAATAACTGCTTGGAAGCAGGCTCTGCCGGCTGCTTCAGCATAACATTCATGGCAGACTGAGTCCAAAAGAGACAGTGATAGGAGAGGCTAGGGACATGAGGATGCAGCCTGGCTCAGCACAGATTATTAGTGTCGGAGATAAGGACAGCAACAGCTGGCATCCCCACCCTGCCCACCATCCGCGTGTGCACCAACATCCCAATCCCATGCTGTCTCTTGAAAAGAAGTCCAGCGCCACAATGCCACGTAACCGTGTGAGATTTTCCTCTCTGGAAGGGATGTCTCATGCTATACACCAGTAGTACTCTTTATACTAAAAGAGAGATTTTCAAGTTTTCTACTGATTAGCCGATAAAATGGAGTCTGCTTCACAATTATGATGCTGTTTTCAAGGAATAAAGGACATGGTCCAATTTATAATAAATACAGGGGAGAAGATATTGCCTAAATGGGACAACAGTAGATAGAGAAAATGCAGACTAAATCTCAGTATAAAAACACCGCTACTGTGTAAAGTCTGTGCATTGGTTCCGAAAGTTTGGCTTGTGATTTTTGGAGAGATGTCGACCCAACTTTAAGACCTTTTACTTCAGCAGTTTCTGAAGAGGAAAAGAGATAATCCAAATGCCTGAATAACTCTCTAATGGAACACTCTGGAAAAGGAACTGAGAGAAAAATGTTGAGAATCAATACAGAAGATTAGCAGCGGTGCACAGCAGTGAGACAGTGAATCAACGGGATGGGTCACCTCCTCTCCCAGCCTGGAAATCTGAATAGGGTGTAAATGACCTGCAGCTCTCATAGGACAGATAGCTGGCTGTGGCTTCATACATTTGGCACTAATATTACATATTGTTTGTTCCAAGAAAACCATATCACTTATTATTTTTACAGCCACACATACAGTTTGATAGATTTCTATAACATTTTCCTCTGCACATAGGTCAGGAAGCTGAGCTCTCTTTATTTGGACTTATCTCTGCTTGTTTAGACAGGTGATGAATCTCAACTAAAAAATTCAACACAGTAATCACTACCTGCAGTCCCTAAATCCACCAGTCTCCAACAACTGCAAGAATTTGTTTCTTATAACCCTTTGGCGGTGAACTTGACCTGAACTCCACACCCCACTGGTACTGCTACGTAATAGATGACCATGTTATTTTAAATTGGGAAAATCCTGAACTCCAAAACCATGGCCTTGTAGACCAACTGAGGCAAGGGACTAGGCTACTGGAGGAAACCTAGGCAAGTTACAGTTGCTTGTGTTCCTACTTTGTCATTTAGAAAGTAAGAATTTTGGACCACAGGACCTCTCAAGAACTTGACCACAACTGAATTCTGGGGTTCTACCTGGTTTCTAAGATTCTAGGTTAATAGAATGAAACATACAAAATAATTATGTTGAACTTTGAATTATGTTGAATTTCTGTTAAAGTACAGTACAGGTATTTAGCTTTGGGATTATATTAGCCAACTTTCTGTTTCTGTAACAAAATTATCTGAGAAAATTAACTTATAAAGTATAGACACATTTACTTGGGTTCACAATACTGGGGGTTCCAGCTCAAGACTGGGCAGCCCCGCCGCTTTCATGCTCTGAGGGCGTGCAGAGGACAACGGGGGAACATGTGGCAGCACAAGCTGTTCACCACAGGGCGGGAAGCAGGAGGGGAAGAGTAAGAGCCCAGGTCCCCCCAGCCAGCTCTCAGTGACCACTAGGTCACCACTAAAGCCTCTACCACTGCCACACAGTGCCACCCTGGGGACAGAGACATTAAAACAGGAGCCTTGGGAACACTCAAGACCCAAACAGCACACAAATAAATCTATGTGAGGAGCATGGACACTTGGATGTGCTCTCAGTGCGGTAAAGTGACTCAGGTTTGGTACCTGTTCCGCCCAGGACAGAAGAGATGCCTTCCATGATAGTCTTGTGGACATCGGCGTGGGACAGGATGAACGCGAGGGTCCAAAAGGTAATCTTAAAAGGAAAAACAACATCAAAATTACAAATATCTCTGAAGGCAGTCCAAAGAAAAATTGGTATTAGCTATAAACAGGTAAGAGAGTCAAGGGCAATGGTTAACCTTAAAAGTATTCAAGAGCATCACTGAAGACAACTAGATTTTATCAATAAGAGATGTTCTACATTTCTAATAGGCCAAACTTATAATTTCATTCTGCTACTTTAGCTTAATTGTTTATATAGATTAAACTGCAAAATAGGAAAGTTTTTTAATAACAAGCAACAAAGTATTATATAAACATACATTAAAGACTCAGAAACAACAAATTCTAACATTTAAGAATGTGAATCTCAGTCAGGCGTGGTGATACATGACTATAATCCCAGCACTCTAAGAGGCTGAGACAGGAGGATGGCAAATTCAAGTCCTGCCCAGGCAATTTAGCCCCACTTTATCTGAAAAATCAAAAGACAGAGGGCAGTGGTGGAGTGGGGGTGGTGGTGTTGAAACTAGGGATATAGCTCAGCACAAAGGGGGTTCTATCTTCGGTACTGCCCTCCAAAAAAATGTTAATCTAAAACAAAACATTTTTAAAGATTTAATTTCTTTAAAATACAAATGAATCAGTAAATATTATTTACTGCAAATGGAACAGTTATTTTAAATAAGCCCAATAAACTATACTTAAATACCACAGGCTGAATTATGACAGCACCCTCAGGAAACAGGGTTTCACTCACACCTGGCCCATTCAATGTTACGGCACTCTCTTCCCTGAGCTATCTAGATGATCTCCTCTCTTTCCTCAGTGAAGTATTTTACAAGGTAACATTTTGCTGCTCTGTATCTTAAACATTAACTCCCTCCTGAGGTCGATGTTTTTGCTTCTAAAGTTCACAACAAAGAAAACCTGTACAACATCATTAAAAGCCGCTGGGGGTACTTTCCCTTTCATTTTCTTCTATAAACATTTATTCTGAAATCAATCCTGAAGTGACTCAGGCAGTGTTTTGTGAGGGAACATATTAGCCTATACCTCAACATAATCTCAACACGCCCCTCTGTGGTAGAGAGAGGAAGAGCAGCTGTCCCAAGGAAAGTGCCCTGGGGACATGAAATTGACAGGGTAAGGACACACACAGTCCTGTTTACACAGACAAGACACACAGGGGTGCCCCGTCCTTCCTTGCTGAGGTTCCATCTCTTACGAAAGAGTCGCTGTGTCCTCGCACAGATAAAGAAGCATGGGTTCAGAAAGCTTTCCTCCCGGTCTCCTCGCTCTGCCCCGCCTCCTCAGTGCTAAATTACTGAATTTAATTCACAACAACCCCACACTTGATTCACCACATGTGAAGAGTCAGCCTCCATACTGCGGGGGAAAAACCCTGCAGACAACATGAAGACTTTCAGTTACACAGAAGAGGAGTGCAGAGTTGTGTATGCTTAATTGTGGATTTGGAGATCTACTGAAATTGGGCACTGATTGCTTTTGAGAAACACAGGGGTCTGAACTGCACATGGCTGTGCAGTGGTGGTATCTCCTCTTTAAGGCCTCTCTTTTCTGAACGGATTTCTATCTTTTAAAAAAAATCTATTTTCTACTTTAGAAAAACAAAGTACTTTTTAAAAATGAGAAAAAGTATGTAAAGAGAGTAAGAAGTTAGTAAAATGTTCCTATGTGATACAGAATCACGAGGCAGGAATGTGACCCTGCGGTCAATGTGTTCACATCTGGGAAATGGGCAGATCCACTGCTCCCAACATGACCAACTGGGGTTTGGCCACAGGGATGGATTCTGTGCCAGGGCTGGGCACGAAGGTGGAGGGCTGCGTGGTTCCCGGGTTGCAGAAGCAGCTGCCCTGATGCCTTTCCATCAGTCAGGACAGGAGGGGAGGACAGGGAGAAAAGCTCCATTCCCTGCTGGGTCCGGAGCAAATGGACTGAACGTGGGCCTCAGCATCTTCCCCTCATGAAAGAGATTTAACCATTACTGATGGTACTCCTGAGACAGGCCAGGTCTGCAGCCATCATGGTCAACTCAAATATGGATAAGGCAATTTCCGCCCCAAGAACTTGCCTTCTGGCTGGGGATGTGGGGGCCACTGTACGACAGGCAAAGCTGCTTTGAGAGCTGAGACAACGTGGAGACAGTGTGGAAGTGGAGATTGCTCCTGAAGTTCCTTAGCGAGAACTTGGGAGAGGGAGCAGATACAAAGGATAAAATGCCAGCTTTGAGAACGGCTGGAGAAATGTTCTAGAAAGTTCATTCCACTTCCTAAATGGTGACTGCTGTCTCAGAACAGTCCACCCAAGCACACTGAGGCTGTGGTGACCTCCAGGGACAATTCTCAGCCCACGGGAAACCCTGGCTCTGAGCGCTGCAGGCCTGAGGCAGAGGACAAGAAGAAGGAGGTAGAGATATCACCAGGGCCCCTTCAAGGCCACACTGTGCCTCTGGCAGGACTTCAGCTGCTCCCTCAGCAGTGTTACAGGTCACAAAAGCCAGGACAGAGGTGCCACTCAAGCAGTCAAGCATGTGGAGGACCGGGTATCTCCACGCATTGTCCACGGGGTGCTGGAAGCCATCCTTGACTGAAACCAGGGCAATGCGTGTGGTGGCAATGACAGCCACCTGCCATCCCTTCCAGTGCAGCCCTCAGAACCAGCCACCGCGGTAGGTAGCACCGGTCACCAGGCTGCCGCTCAGCAGGCCTGGGAAAACTGGTGAGACAGACTTCCGCTCACCGTCAGATGCTCACTTCCTGAAATGAAGGATTTCAGTCTTCTCCGCCCAGTGCCAGGAACACAGTCAAAGCACTGACTTCCCCTGAGTCAGATCAATGGGGCTTTGTGCGGTTTGTACCCTCTGAGGGAACCTTCCTGATGAAATCTTGGAAATTAATCCCCGACAAAAGTGGCTGTTTTGCTGCTGCTCTGGGAGTTGTTTTTAGATTTGCTTTTCAGTGTTGCCATAGCTTAATCGGTCTCCAAGAAAATTACTTAAGGAATGATCAGAGAATTATACTGGAGGAACACAGAGCAGGGAAAGGGATTAGACTATTTGTTCTTGTCACCCAAATGAAAGTTATAGTCTCATGGGTCACACATGTTGGAGGAGAGGCCAAAATTTCTGCTCCTTACATAATAAATTTTACAACAGGTCACAGAGCACTAAAATATTAGGACTTCAGAAAGGGGAATGAGAAATAAGTAATCCGTAAAACACCTTCTTTATTTCTGTTAGAAGAAAAAGGGGGGAAAAGGCCAACCTTATCACTAGAGATAGATGAAAGTTCTTATTTAGTACATAACAAATATATAAAAAGGGTTACCCTTTAATTTCACACAATACAGGGAGCAGCTAAGGCTAACGGTGACAGGCTTCTGACCCCAGAAACTAGCATGGATGGAACAGAAAAGGCAATAAATCTTGTGGCTGTGATTGAGCTCAGGGCAGCTTTAAAAACAGTTTTAGCCAGGCTTAGTGGTACATGCCTGTGATCCCAGCACTCTGGGAGGCTAAGGCAGGAGGGTAGCAGATTTGAACCCAGGCTGTGCAACTTAGCAAGACTTTGTCTTAAAAAAGAAAAGGTTGATGAGGTGGTTCAGTGCAAAAGGCGCAGTACTGGAAAGGGGAGTAGGGAGAGGAGAGGGTTGGGGAGAGGTGGGAAGAAGTGAGGTTGGGGAGAGGGGTAGGGTGAGGAAAAGAGGAAAAAGAAAGGAAGTTGTTAAAAGCCTCTGCTGTCTTTAGATAAATGGCACGTTCCAGTGTCATCAGCCCCTCTGTGGAAGGCAGGACCGTGAGGCCCGGTGATCAGAATGGCGTGCACACAGACAGAACAGCTCAGTCACTGGGCACCTGTTCGTCTCCTCTGTGGAGCCCTCTCGACTTTGCAGAGCAATGGAACCACGTAGAGCAGTGGGGCCCCCAGGCTACAATGGCAGTTTTGTGTTTGTTCTCTCTGTTACCAATCAGGAAACGAACAACTGAAGTTACCACCGTGACACTCTACAGCTCTAGCTGGCATGTCTGGCTTTAAGCCCGACTCTGTTTGAATTGTCCATTCCCTTACTTTTTCACGAATCTCAGGTGGGGCTGAGCCTTACTGATCTGCAGCACTAACACCTAGCACACTGCCCACACAGGGAAGGCTCCCTCAGCAGGACAGTGCCAGCCAGTGCCCAGGCCAGCTCCTCCTTGCCAGGCGCTGCCCGGAAGAGTTGGGACACTCTCTGCCTCCTGTGTGACCCAGGCAGATTCCAGTGGGCATTTTGCTTCGCTTTTTATCTCACAAGTGAATCCACTGTAGTTTTTTCTTTCTCTGTAATAAATGAAGGGGGGATGCAGAAAACACAGGAGAGTGCAGCAGACACAGAAACACACTCTACTTCCGCATGGGACTGTGTACTTACAGGAACAGCATTAGACAGAGAGGCCCACAGCAGCAGGAGCCCGTAGCTCGCACTGTGCCCACCTGCTTCCCCCTCTACCACATCCAGCACAGCCTGCATTAATGTCTGTTTAAAAGAAATGAATATGGTCAAACCATGGCTACAGTTCAAAGTGATGTATACAAGAGATCACGCATCTTCCTTTCAGCCCAGAGCAGAGCACAGGCTGCTCCAGACCTCAGTGGAAGACATGCAGACCTGGAACAACACCGCCAAAAACAAATGACTGTATTATTTCTTTCTTTTCTTTTCTTTTTGTTTGTGGTTTTTTTTTTTTTTTGTACCAGTAATTGAACTCATGATCTCATGCTTGCCAGGTAGGCACCATGCCACTGAGCTATATCCCTGGCCCACAAATGACTGTATGTGAGCACGTCCAGGGTAGCCCTGGGCACACAAACGGTGTCTAATCATACTCCTTCCTCAGCAAACACTTACTCTCAACTATCGTACTTCCTTGCTCTCTTCACATACACTTTAACAAGAGAAGCTAAGAAACACTTACCACAGAATCAGCCTTTTCAGGTTTGTATGCTTTTATCTCTGGAATGCTTTCCTCAAAAAGTGCTAGGAGCCACCTTTTGGATTTTGACCAGTTTCTGTGTGAGGAAAGGAAAGCATATGCAGAAATTAATCCGAAAGTGTGTAGGGAAAAACAAGTCAAGACATCAAAGCGGGAGTCTGTGGAGTTAGAATTCTTTCCCTACATCTTGTCTTCATTTTCAGGCAGAATTTTCTAGAGGTCTCCCTGCAGAACTCAGTCCAGAGGGAAATTGATGGGTCAAGGCCACTACACTGGAGTCTTCTGCGAGTAAACATCTGGATTCCTAGTGGACTGGCACTGAGTAAGAACACAGGTGACCCCTGGCTCAGTTTCCTTTTGCTGCGGCTGCTGCCCAGTGAGAAGGATGAAAGCCAGCAGAGGCGGCAGCTGCTGGATGAAGCCAGGCAAAGTGGCTCTCAGCTTCCAGTCCTCTCTGAGCAGTGACCAGTGTCAACCACAAGCTGAAATCTTAGTCCCCATGGTGCACTAGGAGAGGGTCTTCGGGCAGTGATTACACATAAGCACAAAGCCCTCATGGAAAAGACCCCGGCAGGGACACGTTTGCCCCGAGGACCCAGCAGGAACACACCGTGAAACTGGCAGCGGGTGGCTGGGAAGTCACCTCTTCCCAGCACAAACCCCCTTCGCTCAGGCCTCAGGCTTCCCACACTGGAGCTACGAGGCGCGGATTTCTATGATCTGAATTGACTGACATATACAGCAACCCTAAGAGATTAAAGAGCCACCCTGTTATTGCATTTGAATCATTTCATAAGTGTTCACCTAAGCCAGCTGTGGAAATGCACCTGGCTACAGCTGCCTTTGCCTCAGAGAGAACAGGCTGGGGTGGTCACTCTGATGACTGAGCAGGACCCAACCCTGCCAGCTCTGGTTGGGAAAAGGCCTGGGAATAAGTCCTTTTATTTGGTTCAAGAGAAACAGAAAAAAGAACCAGCACGCCTCTCTTCTTTTGTTCCTTCTGTGTATATCTGCACACCAAGAAAGCACAAAGGTGGCAGAAATCGCTTCTCTCCATGTGATCTGGTGTCACATCTACCTGTGAGGAAGCTGATTGGTGCACAGATTGCTGAGGTGGGCGGGGCCAGCAGGTCAATGACAGAACACAACTCTACCTCAGTAGCCACTCTGGCATCTGGGATCCATACTCAAAACCTTCATCATAAATTTGAAAATGTTGGCAGAAGTCCTCAGTTTTCCTCTTGTGTGAGGGAAACATGGCTTTCTTAAAAAGTACGTTCACTGTGACCGGATAAAGGAGCTGCCTACAGAGACAGAAACACACACAGTTCAGACCCTTATGCCAATGAAGAAGCACTGGGTCACATGACTAACTATGGGTCGGTAATATGTGACTGACTCTTTCAGGGGGGTGGGTTAGCCTCAGGGTTTTTAATATTTGCTAACAGTGATCAAAAAAATTCAGGGAGAACTGAAATTGTGGTTTTATTTACCTGAAGATTTAAAAATCCTTTCTAAGCAAACATATTATATGCTGACAAATAGGATAAACAGAAATAAATTGATTCATTAAGTTCAACAAGCATTCATTTAGTAAATACTAACAACAGCTAAGGTAATGGCCCATGCCTAGTGATAGCAGCAAAAATAACCAAAGAGAAGCAAAAGCAGTACTAATCATCATATTTCCTAATTTTTCACAGGGTCCCATATGCTCACATTATTGTGTATTGAAATATAGTACTTCTCAGTAATTTTTGCTGTATGCAAATAAAGTGATCAGTGTGGCACACTTAAGAGTATCAAAGATATTCAAGGATAGTCAATATTCAAAACTACATATTTTGATATCAAAGATAGCATATAAGATATTTATTATTCCTTCAGATTCTCCTTACCCCAAAGTTTCCAAAATATCCAGGGATCACTTTATTCTCTCACAGACACTGGTGTGCTTTAGCAAATTTTAAGTTGCCCTGGTTATTCCTGCTTCACCCCCGAACCACATTGGGGGTTCTAACACCACATTAATCGACATTCTGTCTCGAATCTTAACTGCTGCAACTATGCCTTCTGTGTTACAGCATCTGCAGAAAGCTTCAGCACATGGCTGCTCCCTCTGCTCCCCCTGCAGCTCTCCTGTCTCTTGGGACCTCCCTATCAGGACAGTCTGAAGACTCAGCCCAAAGGCCCACAGTGACTTGGCTCTAGCTGCCCTTTTTGGACCTTTGTCATTACATAAAGATTCCAATCTCTCCCCTGTCCCCACGATATCTCTCCATTCCACTGATTTGCATGGAATGGTGAGCAGATGGTGATTTGGTGAGGCAAATCCATGTGGAACAGACATAGTCACTGGAAGGACTAAGGGAAATCACATAGATATACTGTATTAAAATGACTGCACTGGCTTATTTGTGTACCATATAATGGGAGTGGAACTGCCTATTAATTAGAACTTTAAAAATTTAGAGAAATCACTTAATAAACGAGTTGAGTAGATTTCATTAATCTGCCAGGTAATTTGTGAAGCCCAATGTGGTAGTTTCCTTTTTTACTTGAAGATTAAAGGTTAAGTGATACTAAAGCTTCTAATTACCTTACTAAACTGATCAGGTCCATTGTCCCATGAGGGCCTAAATCTTCTAATTGTTCATGGAATTCTTCATTCAGTTGCTCTGTAAACTGATACACGTTGAAAGTCCCCATTTTCCCTTTCATTGTAATGTACAGTTTTTCATGCAGTGTTAGAAAGATATTCTTTGGAACTGACGCTATAAACAGAGAAAACTATTTTCAAAATAAGTCACAACCTCTCCAAGTATCCATTATACCTCTACCCTTATTGGATCAGTAAGGACCTTTCCCAACATTCTTGCAGTACACACAATCACCGACTGTGAATAAAGTGGACAACGATTCAACCTAGACTGTGAGATAGACTGAAGTCTAGAGAGTGATTTGCTTTATGGGATAATGTATAAATGGGTAATTCAGAGGGTTGAGATTGCCATCCTCTTCCTCCTCCAAGTCTATGTTCTAGGTATATTGAGAATACATAGCGCTTCACCTTTCTCAGTGTTTGCAGAAGCTATTCTGGATGCTCAAAACATTCTCTCTTTTACCACCTCAAGCCCTATGCTGTACCCCCACACCCATCAGCCCAAATGCCTCCTGCTAGCTTCTATTTATTCCTCCAGTGTCTTCTTACATATTACTTCCACCAAGAAGCCTTTCCCAGCCATGAGTAACTCTGACCCCACTATTTCCTTCATTTTAGTATTTGTGTTCCTTCCCCGATACCCACTTTTGGTTAGACTGGGGTGGTGGGAATGTAAGGTTATTTTTAACTAATTTCTTTTTATCTTGTTTTATTATCTTTCAAGTAACTTTTCCAAAAACATATTTTAAATTTTCTATCTTCTCATTTTGCTATGTGTAGATTCTGTACATTAATTTTGTATAAATGAATGAGGAATAAATGTTAAAGAATTTTCTCTATGGTGGCAGGACACAGGGGAGGGACACGAAGCTCCTCCGGAGTCAGTGCTCACACATTTCATCTGTTAAACACCATGGAAGGCCCCAGAGAGGGCACAGGTGAAAAGCTTGCTGGTTTCCATACACCTTCAATAAGCAAGGGGTGTATTGTAATACAGATCAAAAGCCTTCAAGGTATATGTGCTCCGCGGTCAGGATTTCTACAGCCCATACGTCAACAGCATTAAATAGAGAATTTAACCCACATATTGAGACCAGCATCCAAGGAAGAAGAAAAAATAATCATGGTACTAATCACTGATAAGATTTAAAAAGAAACTTTTTGGTCTCAAAGGCAAGAAACACACGAGAGACTATATGAAAAGGAACAGTGGAACCTAAGGAAAAAAAGAGGTGGAGAGAGAGAAGGCACAGCATGTAGAAGCCAAGTGTGAAGGTCGAGGAAGGGCCAGCGTTGCATCTGGGGAGGGCACATGGCTTCAGCACACACATCTGCAGTCTGAGAAGAGCTGAAGTTGGACAGCCACACGGCAGCATGCTCACCAGTGCCACCAGGAGTCCCGAAACTAGACGGAGAACGTGTGAATGGGAAAGTCAAGGCCCGGCTCACCTACCAGTCCTATGCGGAATGCCACAGAAACCCACACAAGGATGGGGATCATAGCTCAGTGGCAGTGCAAATGCCTAGAAAAAGCCACACGAACAGGTTTTGCAAGCAGGGGACTGCTACCTGCAGGAAGCAGAGTCACAACAGAGAAGCAAGCAAGAGCTGCAGCATGTACACAACTGTACACACAGCAGCAGAACACAGACTGCAGCATCTTGGGTGTTGCAATGTGGGACAGATTCCAAATATTCTCTCAAAAATTATCTACTGGTGAGGTAACCCCATCTTGTACACATGTCTACTTGACAGGTAAATGCATTCAGCTGCCAGTAATTGGCTTTTCAATCCTCACACACTCACTCCTCCTTTTAGCCTAAACTCAACAATAACAAAGTACATGCCTGTAAACCCAGAACTCTGAGAGGCGGAGGCAGAAAGATCCAGAGTTTAAGCCCAGCCCCAGCAACTTAAGGAGATCCTGTCTCAAAATAAAAAGAAAATTTTGAAGGACTGGAGATGTAGCTCAGTGTGAAAGCCCTGGACTCAATCCCTGATATTGGAAAAAAAAAAAAAATTAAAAGGGTAAAGAAATGGGCTCTCATCAATTGCGAGTGTAATTTTTACAGAAAACTATTTTTGGATTTCAATGTTTTCCTTCAAATGAACTATTTGAAAATATTCTTTACCTGTATGGTAGACAGGATTTTGTACTGCTAGTTCAAAATTTACTTCTTTGGATTTTAGAAACACATTGATTCCCTCTTCTTCAGTAACAAAGGTCATTCGGTTTCCCATGGCAAAGATTGTAAACACTGGTCCATACTGCAATAAAAACATCAATAAACCACAGAATGTTAGTGAGCATTTCTAAGCCAGGGCTTTGGTTTAAAGGAGTTTTCATAAAGAACCCCAAAACTGAAGCTATGGTCAAATAAAAATGACTATATCTAGGAATTAGTTTTAAATGCTGACAGTTTTAGACACATTAAACTGAAACAAATCTTAATTTGCACTGTTCCAATAAAATTTGTAAGATACTATTATCATTTACTTATATTTGCCTTCCTCATAGTATGAAATAATTATTAGAAAATAATGATTAGAAATAATTAGAAATCTATCAACACTGTGATCTTTGAACATTGTTTTCATCATATCATTAAGCTCATACACAAACTATAACTCAATGTTGCTCAAGAAAAAGAAGCAAAATTGCCAGCTGTTTTCCAGGAAATCATTTTCATTAATTTCTAACCGTATTTAGAGTTTTCTCCAATTATGAGGCTAGGTAATAAACCACATATTATCAAAAGAAACTATCATACATTCATACCTCATGGCAGTTATCATAAAGATCTTAAAACATCATTTATGCCCATCATTCCTTCAATCTTAGTCACTTCAACCCCACCCATAAGATGACAAATGATTACTCCTGTCATACACGGTTCTGGCACCAGGCAACTGAGGGCCCCAGTAAAGCCCCATTTTCTCATCCTAATAAGCCATCTACACTGCTCCCCAGTATGACCTTATCTACTGTTGTTGCCAATCAATACTCAGAAGATGAATCATTTTCATTGTTAAAGTTTTCCTTGAATGAGATTGAACTTCCCATCAGGGAAATGGGCTTCTGTAGCATGGATAGGTACAGGGCCCAAGTGTAAATCAACTGAGTTCAAACACACTGAACAGCTGAGATGGCTGCAGACATGTGGCTTTAAAGTCACTGCAATACAACTGCATCATGAAAAACAGTTGTGCGTCAAGTTATAAATTCCATAGCAGCAGGTCATAGGTGTTTTGTTTCTCTTGGTTCTCCTTTCCTTGTGCAATCTCAGTATTATGAAACATACAATGTAGGTTTTAAAAAGGGCACTTGTTTTTGTTTGGTTTTGAGACAGGATCTCACTAAGTCACTAAGTTGCACAGGCTGGGTTCAAATTTGGGATCCTCCTGTCTCAGCTTCCTAGTGTACTGTGATTACAGGCATGTGCCACCATCCCTGGCTTCATGTATTTTCAATTAACTATTGAGATAATTATAGGTTAACTGTAGCAATCATAAGAGATATTAGAGAGATCTCATGTACTCATAGCTGTTTACCCAGTATTACTACCTTGTCTTTTCTTTCCCCTGGCTGACTGTACTAGCTGAAAGTTCCAGCAGTGGGCTGTAAGAGTAGTGATAACAGAAACCTTTGCTTACTTCACAAACATAGAAGAAAAATTTAATTTCCTATTAGCTATCAAATTTTTGTAGATGATCATGATCAAGCTGAGAAAGCTCTACTCTATTCCTAGTTTTCTGAAAATTTGGTTGTTAAGTTTCTTATCATAAATAAGGTTTTGTCAAAGCCTTTTCTGAGGGGCTGGGGATTTAGCTCAGTGGCAAAAGCGCCTGCCTGGCATGCGTAAGGTCGTGAGTTCAGTTCCCAGTACCGGAAAAAAACAAAACAAAACAAAAAGCCTTTTCTGCACCGATATGATCATGTGTTTTCTCTTTTCTTCTGTAGCCTGTACAAAGGAGTTTTCACTGATTTTCAAATCTTCAAACGGTCTTCCATCCCTGCAATGGACTCCTCTAGGTGATTTTCAAATCCTGCTGAATTTTATTTGCTGGTATTTTGTTATATATTTTTGTACCTACTCGTCAGGGATAGTTGTCTGTAGTTTTCTTGATACTGTCTTCGGAGTCTTCGGACTGCTATCAGGGTAATACTATCTTCATAAATACCCTGGGAATAACTCCCTTCTCTTCTACTTTTTGGAAGAGACTGTGTATAACCAAGTGTTAGCTCTTCTCCTTTTTTTTTCTTCGTTTGTTTTGTTTTGTTTTTCTTCCGGTACCGGGAATTGAACTCATGACCTTGTGCCTGCCGAGCAGGCACTTTGCCACTAAGCTAAATCCCCAGCCCCCCAAGTGTTAGCTCTTCTTTAACTATTTGATATAATTCCAAAGTAACACAACATGGGTCTAAAGAATTGTAGGGAGGGGGGCTTAAATTACAAATTCAATTTCCTTAATAGTGCAGTCTACTAAAATTATCTACTTCATATTGAATACTTGTGGTAGTTATGTTTTTCCATAAACTGTTTCACTTTCTCCAAGCTGTTGAATTTAGACATGTGGGGTTATTCACAGTATTCCCTTATTCTATTGATGTCTGGGAATCTACAATGATGCCCCAACTTCATTTCCAACACTGCTCATCTGTGGCTTCTCCCTCTTTTTCTCTATTGGTCTTGCATGAAGTCTGGCAATGCTGCTGATCTTTTCAAATAACCAACTCATTAATTTTCTCTATTAGTTTTTTTTAATCTTCCATGTCATTGATTTCTGTTTTTTAAATTTCTTTCCTGTCATTGTTTCAGGTTTATTTTGCTCTTCAGGGGTGATTCTTGAGAAAGAAGCTCTGATTATTGACCTCAGATTTTTCCACTTTTCAAATGCAAGTACTTAGTGATAAAATTTCTGATATGTTGTATTTTAGGTTTTTGTTTTGGTTTTTTTTTCTGGTACCTGGAATTGAACTCAAGACCTTGCACTTGCCAGGCAGGCACTGAGCCACTGAGCTAAATCCCCAGCCTCTGATATGTTGTATTTTTATTCTTATTTTATTTTGCAGTTCTGGGGCTAGAACCTTAGGGTGCTCTACCACTGAGCTGCACCTCTAGACTTTTTTATCTTTTGAGACAAGATCTCACTAAGTTGCCTAACCTAACCTTGAACTTGCAATTCTCTGGCTTCAGCCTCCCGAGTAGCTGGAATTACGGATGTGTGTCAACATGCCTGGCTCAGTTCAATATATATTTATTTCTAAGAGACCAAGTTAAAATATAAAGACTCAAAAAAATTGAAAGGGATAAGGAAAGATGCAACCTGCAAATATTAACCAAAAGAAAGTTGCAATAACAGAACATTTTAATCAAAATAAATTACTACAGATGAAGCCATTGACTCCCTCTTAGACTGGCAAGGAGCTGTCCTTGGCAAGGGCTGCTGAGGTGGGTAGGCGGGAGTTGTTTAATTAAGCTATTTGCTGTGGGGAACTCTGCCTTATAGGGGCTGCTTGCCAGCTGATTTCCACACTCTGGTGGAAGGCAGATACCATTTCCCTCAATAAAATGTTGAAAATCATGATGTTTAATTGTGCCAAGATTATCCCAAGTTTACATAAACTGTTCACTAACTATAATTTTTGCAAAATACTCAACCTTGGTCTATGCACTTCGGGACACTGTGTTTCCACATTGTGTTTCCAATGTGTCAAGAAATAAATAATCTTAGCTGCAGATTTGCAGCCTGGGACAGGTATAAGTAGTACACGGTCAACATAACCTCCCTAGGAAAAGTCCTAGAGATTTCTTCCAAGTTTCATGCTTAAGAAATTAGAAACCATGCTGGACATACTGGTGCATGCTGGCAATTACAACACCCTGGGGGCAGGGTGGAGACAGGTGGATTTCAAGTTGGAGCCTGGCTTGGGCAACTTCACAATCCAGTAAGACCCTGTCTCAAAAGAGAGGGGTGCAGGAGAGCGAGGACAGATTCACTGGGATTTATCTTGATGCAAAGGCCCTTGGCTCAACCCTCAGTATTGGGGAAAAAGCTATAAATCATATCGTAAGATTGACATAGCCAAATACACTCTGAGATTTAAACAAAGTCCTCTGTATTCAAAATACCAGGTTTTCGCCCCATGGGTTTTTGTTGATAGAACTTACTAACTAAAGACTGGGCCCCAGTTATCTCAAAGGTCAAGGAGAGTAGGAGCCATGCCAGGCTGGCACGGTGGGTGGCAGGATTCAGTCTTCCACAGGCCACTAATGGTTTTAGTTCTTTGCTGGTTGTAGACTAGGGTCTCTCTGTTTCTGGCACCCTAATTGGCAATTTTTCATCAGAGCCTTCAAGTGGGGCAGGTGACAGGGTCTGCTATCCAAATGGCAGCAAGATCCTGGAAGCAGCATCCCAGCACCTATGCCACTGGATTCATCAGAAGTGAGTTCTTAGGATCTGCTGACACCCAGGAGGAGGTGACTGCAAAAGGAATGGGCAGCAGCAGGTGGGCGCAGCTGTGGGTTACCTTAGAAATCTGACTGGAACATTTATTAATCTGGAAGCCTGTTGAGTGATACCCATGCATCTTAAAAAGAAAAAAGGAGTTCCAATAGTACTAATGTCAAGAGTTCAGTATTTTGGACACAAGAACAGTGTGAATCGTATGATACACCTGCTTATAAAAGATGGAAAATAAGCATCTATAAATGAATTTGCTTACATATGGTTCAAAAAAAAGATGAAAGGATATATAAGAAATGAATTACTGTGCTACCAACGTTAGGGATGAGGACCGAGAACCGAGAGGAAGGGAGAAAGGTCAGGGAGATTTTTCACTTGATTTGTTATATTTAACACTTTTTGAACTATATCAATTCATAATCTATTCAAAGATTAATAAAAACAAAAGGGAAAACTTTTTTTTTAGTACCGGGAATTGAACTCACAAATGGGAAAACTTTTGTGGTCATCAAAATGCTCTTTTCCTTCTCCAGGGTCAGAAGAAGCTGAGGGTGACAGTTCATGATTAGATTTTAGGAGTCACTTCTTGAAGGTTCAAAGTGCCATAAGCTGTGTGTTACACACTTGCCATTTAGATGCATTTTTCCATCAAGCCTACTAGGGAGAACCTAGTGCAGCTACTGTTAAAAAAGCAGAATGAACCCCATGCTCCCACCCCAAACCCGGTTCACATGTCCAGACTGTTGATGTCACACACACAAAGACGGTATGAACACATTTATTGTTTACATAGCAGGGTTCTGCTGGGACTAGGGTGGCTGGCCTCTGACCTTGATCTGAAAATGGCCTGAGGAAGTGATTGGGCTGGAGGTTTTATTACAGCTAGGGAATAGGCCCATGGACCCATTCCTGCTTGACAGCTGGGACTTCTGTCGTTTAAGTCTTCCCTGGCACCCATGGCAAGAGCACCCACCTTTTATCATCCTGCCCAGGTGGCGAATACAAGGGAAAGAAGCCTAAAAACTGTCAGCAGCCAAACATCACACAGTGCTGCCGCCCCATTCTCTAATTTAGTACTAGGAAAAGCTCATTTATACTGTTCCACATGACAGTTGACTCGTATAACTAGTTTCATTTAACCAGGAAAGCTATGAAGCCCTCACAAATACTTGATCTGAAACAAGCTTGTAAAAAAGCATCCCTGAAGAGTTATTACGGTCATGTGCCTGCCAGGGACAAGGAACATTTCTTTAGAAAAGAGCTTTTTTTCATTTATCAGATTAGCAAAAGTTACAGTATCCAGTGCAGCCCAGAATATGAGAAGTCAGGCAGTTCCTCCCACTTAAAAGTAAAAAGCATATATTACATATCTTTTACAAGGGTAACACAATAATATAAACAACTGTGCAATTCGACTTTTAGGGATTTATTTTGAGGAAACAATCAGGTAGGTGCAAAATGTACAATCACATACATGTGAAAGAGTGGACATCAAACCATTGGTTAAAATTAAAAAAAAGTTGGCAACTAGCTATCTATCCAATTAAGGATTTAAATAAGCTAGCGGATCCTCAAGTGATAAAACACAGCCATTAAAAGGATTCACACAAATACTTAATGACATGGCAAAATTATTTGCATTAAAAATTAAATTTGAAAGTACATAAAATAGTAGTACAATATTACCCCATTGTTTACTAACTACTTTGCATAGAAAAAAGTAAAACTAATACACAATAAATTTTTAATGTGTTTTACTTCTAAAGTGACATCTGGGTTACTTTTATTGTCATCTTAGTTCTCTTTGGAATTCCCTAACTTTTAAAAAATCTACTGTACACTGAAATCTTAGATTTTCAAGACAAATGATCAGCAGCATATATGATACTGGTTATAAAATTATACACAGTGTAAATTGGGGTAACTAGCCAGGAACATATGTGGAAGATGTGTCCACTTAGAAACTACTGTAATACAATACATACTAATGAAGATGTTTAGTATCATATACATTTATTAGATAATCAAATACCACAAAATCTAAGTGGCTCGAAATTGGATTAAAATTAAAAGGCTAATATGTCTGTTTTCTAAAGTGTTCCAGCACTGGAAAGATTCTTTAAGGATAAAAACATCTATTCCAACAACCATTCCTAACGTCCTTTGGGTGCAGAAAATTCAGGCTCATTGTCATCAATAACAATTCAGATGAAAGAATACTGCCCCTGAAATTTGTTTTTTTTTAATTTATTTTAAAAATAAAAGACGGAAAACATTAACAAACAGACATCCATTTAGAAAATAGCATAAGAACAATACAAGCCCCTGACATTTGTAAAGATCAACTTTGGAAGTAATTTTCACAATACCTTCATGTTAACTCCATTTGGGGCTATGGATTTATTATACACTTTCACAAATTCCAATCATACTACACTTCTGTCCTTCCGAATTATTGCAAACACTTTATTAACATTTGTGCACTTACTATGCTGAAGTAACTAGCACTTAAAAGCTAATCTCTTCTTCCAACAAGGCAGACCCAAACTGAAGCCGATTTCTTTCCTTAACTGTAATTATTTCTTTGGTACTGTTTTTAATGCATAATGACTGCATTCCTCGTGGGGAGTTGGTATATGTATCTAATTTCTTTCATCTCCTGCCTCTTCCCCTCCTTTCACTGGACTCCGTATCTTTTCCCAAACCTGGCGTGGAAGAGGTTGCTAATTCCCAGCAGAGGAGTGAATAAACTAGGCTGGAAGCGTGTTCCGGGTGTCCTGCCCGCACCTACCTGGGCCCGAGCCTGCTCGATGAACTCCAGCGGGGCCTTCCCAAACCGCAGCCCGGCGCCGACCCAGGGGATCCAGCCCGTGGCGCACGGGGGTCGGCGTGAGCCTCTGCGCCTAAGGACGACGAACAGCGCGACGCCGGCCAGGAGCGCGGCCACCGCGGCGACGCCGGGGTACAGGTCCTCGCTCATCTTCCTGGGTCTGAAAAGCGGAGAAGGTCCTGTCCGTGTTTCAGTTTTGGAGGCTGTTGCGAAGCACTACTCACAGCGACTCCTTGGCCCCGCTACCTCTTCGCCTCTCCTGAGACACCTGAAGACCTCTAGCATCCTCACTCCCGCTCACTTCCGCTTCTTTTACGGATCCAGTAAAAGGACAGAGCCAGCCAGGCGAGGTGCGCACGCGCGGTTACCAGGGAGACCATCCAGTCAATCAGAATGCACGGTCTGCGGACTCCATCTCCCAGAAGGCCCCGGGGTCCGGGCACCGCACTGGACCGCACCTCCGCCGGCCGCAGCAAGGGGCGATGTCTCTTGGCACCTGCTGGCCGGCTGACTCGCGCCGCTGTCCCACCTCGCTGGATGTCCGTCCCGGAAGACGAGGACTCGCCATCGCCGCTCGCGCAGCGATGGCCCCGCGCGAGCAAGTTCCTGCTGTCGGGCTGCGCGGCCACCGTGGCCGAGCTAGGTACGGGCTTCCGGCGGGCGGCTGCTGCGTCGCGGGAGGGATGAAGTGGGGATAGAGAAGGATGGAGGGACAGACGGAGAGAGGGATGGATGGAGGGGTGGATGGAGGGGTGGGTGGAGGGATGGAGAAGTGGAGGGATGGATGAAGGGAAGAATAGAGGGGTGGCTGGAGGGAAGGAAGGAGGAATGGATGAAGGGAGGGAGGGTAGGAGAGGTGAAGGGAAGGATGGGAGGGTGGATGGGGAATGAAGAGGTGGAGGAATGGATGTCAGGAAGGATGGAAGCGTAGAGGGATGGATGGTGGGATGAGGGGATGGAGAGAGGGAGGAAGGGGTGGAGAGATGGAGACGGATGCGGAGAGGGAGAGGGAGAGGGAGGGAAGGATGGAGGCGGCTCGGGCTTCGCCCCTGGATTGGGCAGGCCGATTGGGAAGGATGGGGCAGGCAGAGGGCCGAGGATCCTGGAGGTCTACCTTCTTTTGAGTCCGCAGGAGCCTCAGAAGTGCTCCTGTGCCTGGTGGGAATTTCTACACCCTCTCCTGCAATCATCTTCCCTTTCGCCAGGATGACCCTTTTAAAAACCATCCACCCTTCATCCTTGTTGGGAACGTCTCTGTCTTGGGATCACTGTGTCTTCCTGGACCAGGTTGTGAACCTGCCTTGTAGAGTGTCAGTTATTAACCATTCATTACTGAGCAGCTCCTTAACGTCTGCTAGTTTCCTGACCTCTTTTGAGTTGAACTCATCCATACCCTGTTTACCTTAAGGGAAATTACTGAGAAGTTAAGTATATATAAACGCTAAATCCAAGGCAGGGCACCTATTGATTGTGACATGATTATAATGACTACAGGACTAGGGCTAAGGTAGTGTGATTGAAAGGACCCTGATTTGACCTTCTTACAGGCTGCTGGGGAGACATGCAGAGAAAGACAATTACCATGTGCTGCTTATTATGATGAAGCTATTTTCAGGTCTCATAAGAGTTTAGAACAGTGATATCTCCCTGAGTCAGAGGAAACTTGAGACCACCTAGTGTAGGATTATGGTTCCTTTACATAAACCGTTGGTGTTTTTTCCTAGGGATTTGTGAGTAGAGTGCTGTAAATGTGTATTTCAAAATTACTTGTACATTTCTTTGCTCATCAAAAAGAAAAGAAATAGGGCTGGGGATTTAGCTCAGCGGCACAGCACCTGCCTGGCAAGTGCAAGGTCGTGAGTTCAATTCCTGGTACCGGGAAAAAAAAAAAAATCAAACAAAAAAAGAAAAGAAATAAGGTACATCTCTGATGTATTTGTCACTTGTAAATACATGTCAGTTCTGATCTAATGTGATTTTATTTTCTGCTTCTACCACAGCCTGCACATGTTCTCTCGTTTTGTCGTTTGTACTCTTTCACTCTTCCCCTTCCTTTGGCTTCTTGATTTTTTCCATCTCCTGTCAAAGCTGATGGAAAATTTTTATTTTTCATTGTTCTTACTGAAACAAAGAAATCTAAAATCAGATGGCTGAGTAATAGATGTATTTCCAGGTTTTTTTTAAACTGATGTTTCTCTGTGTGACTCAGTGGCTTTTATACAGGAACATTCCTCCTGTGAAAAATTCATGGAGAGAATTGTGCGGGGAATGTGGATGGGAGGCCAAGGAATCAAAATACGGGGTGGTTTTGAGTACAGCTTGATTCAGGATAAAAACTTGAAACATGAAATAACCAGAAAGAAGGAAAAACTAGCTTGAGAGGTTTCGTTTATGCTTAAATAGAGGTTTCTATTTCTTCAGGGGTTTTTTAGGTTCATATGCAATACAAAATGGTTTCAAGTCTCTACATACAAGTTACTTTTGTTTTAGGAAAACGATTGGCAAGATATTAACTTTCTGAAGCAAGTAGTAAAATTTAATATTCTTTGCCCCTCTCCTTGTTCTGTTTTCTCTTAAAGAAAGCATGCTCATTGAAAAGTCTTACATAATGTCAGTCATGTTCACAAACTTGTCTGAATGTCATTATTTCATTCAGACAAGTTATTCCAGACATTGTATACAGTTAAGAGCTTGGCATTCCTTATGTGGGTCAGGTAGCTTAACTGATAAGAAAAGATCTATCTCTAATTCAAAATATAAAGACAGTTTTTTACAAATACTTTTAGAAGGCCATGTACAAAACTTATCAGTATTGGAAAAAATTTAACCCATCACTTAACTGAAAGAATATTGAGCATGCTATCCTTGTATATGAAAGAAAATGTTATAATGTCTGCTGGATCTTCTATACCACAAACATCAGGTCTGTGGTTTGTTGGCATGTGAAAGTCATCCATGAAATTATGGAATTCAGCTTCATTTTGTGTTTACTGTAGCACACAAGAATAGATAGCACAGTTTCTAAAGTTGGATCTTAAATATCATGGCTGCCATCAGGGGTACACCACAGAAAATAGGTACTTTAAATTACTTCTCATTGGAAAGCAAAGTTTTAAAGTAGATTTTAGTCTGAACTTTCTGAATAAAAATCTCAAGGGTTGTCACTTTTTTTTTTTTACTGTTAATCTGGGATGATCTGGTGCAGTGCTTGTTACATTTTTGAGTGCTCAGAATCAAATGCTTCTAAACTCTCATCAGTCTTAGGAAAACATTAATCCTATGCTTTTAGAATTTTTTGTTTGTTTCTCTGAATGTTTTGGGTTTCCCCCCCTCATGTGTTCTTTTTTGTTAGCAACCTTTCCCCTCGATCTCACAAAAACTCGACTCCAAATGCAAGGAGAAGCCGCTCTGGCACGGTTGGGAGACAGTGCAAAAGAATCTGCCCCCTATAGGGGCATGGTACGCACAGCCCTAGGAATCGTCCAGGAGGAAGGCTTTCTAAAGCTTTGGCAAGGAGTGACACCCGCCATTTACAGACACGTAGGTATTTATCTTGATTCTAGCTGGTAAGTTTGTTATAAGTTCTGTGTTCGTCTCCTCTGCTTTTTAACTGTATCCCGAAACTAGTCGGGGCTTTTCCCCCCTACCTATATAACCAAAGAGCGCATGATCTTTGCAGAAGAAAAAAATGAACTACCAATTGTTATTAAGGAATCACTCCCTTTAGATTTTATAAATGCATGCTAAAGTATTGAGGGATGAGCTGTTGTGATGTCTGTAAAGTACTTTAAAATAAGCAAGGAAAAAAGAAGCACATTGTGCAATAATTTTAGCAGTTGATCGATTTTAATAGTAGATACAGAGTGAGTTGTACTATCATCTTCCCAACTTTCCTGTATGTTTGAAATTTTTCATAGTAAAAAGTTTTAAAGGTGTAAGATTGATATAATTTTCCTCTACTTCATAAACTTTAAACACAGAATTTAATGTTTTTATATTCTTTGAGAATTACTTGTTTACTATAATGCCAAGCCTCATGAATCTTTGCGCCATACATCAGTAGCCAGGCTGTGTGAAAGAGAACAGGGATCCCTGTCGAAGTCAACTCTAGCCGTAGGCTAAATGCAACACAGGTGACTTCTGCCTTACTAGGTCTGGAGGCCATTACTAGTAACTATGGCAGGAAAGTATCAGCTATGCCAATGTAAGCACTTCCTACTCTGCTCCCAAGGGGACTGAAATTACTAACTTCTCAGCTTGTGGGCAGGAGCAATAAACTTGCTTCTAAAGGAGCTGGACAGGTACAGCACTTTCTTCTCTGCCTTCACGTTTCCTTAGATGTGCAAGGACCTTTGGTCAGAAAAGTTCTAAGTTCTAATATTTATTGGCTTAATGTTTTTAAAGATTAGTTCTTCAAATCAGAAAGTTGGAGTGTATTCACCAACAGCTAGCCAGAATTGTGCAGAAACAGTTACTGTTTTGGACTTCATATATTTTTGGTTATCTTAAAATAGAAAATTAAACTTGAAATATTAAGCAAAGCTCTCTGAGTGAATACCATGTGTTGATTTTAGTGAGCTGATGTCCTATCTTTTAGAATATTTGTCTTCCATTATTGTTCTGAGTTTTGTTTCTTTTCATTTGTATTTTTGCTGATACATCATCTTACAGATTTCACTTCACATGTTTGAAACTTGACTGAAAAAATTATGTTAATGTAATAAATTCTTTAAAGAGATTATGTATGTTTATTCAGTGAAAATCACTATTGTGTACCAAGCTGTGAACCAGGGCCTTTGACATAATGCCGACATGCAGAACCTGCCTGTAGAATCTCATGTCTGGTGGAGCAAGAGCAACTTGATTGCTGTGTCAACATGTTGTGCTGGCCTTAAACATCAGAGGAGAGGCTAGAGAGCACTTTCTGAAAAACATATTCTTTGAGTTGAATCCCGAAAGATAGGGTAGAGTTAACAAAGCAGAGAAGGGAGAAACTATTCTAGAGAGATCAGACAATGTACAGAAAGGCCTGACACCTACAGGGTCATACCCCAGCTGGAGAAATACCAAGAAAACCTTGTGTCAGGAGTGTGTATCACAGCTACAGAGGGACGTTCCGGATCAGAATGTCCTCTTGCTTTATTAAGCAAAGAGCTGAATTTGCCTTTTTTAATGACCTGTTTTACAGTGTACTCAGGAGGTCGGATGGTCACTTATGAACATCTCCGAGAGGTTGTGTTTGGCAAAAATGAAGATGAGCATTATCCCCTTTGGTAAGTTTTGTGTCGAAAATAATACTTTCCGCTATAAAGGCATTTATTTTTATCTGTCAGATTTATGTAGAATTGTACATTTATGTTAAAATTGCCTTAAGTTATAATTTCTGGCATGTCCAGCCTAAGGCCCATCTTTCCTTTTGCTGTTGTTTTAAGTGACGAGGAATTTTCTTGGACTGCCTATGAAATACATAGTATCGTGTATATGCATAACAAAACTTCCTATTTTATATTTTTTACTGTAACATTAAAATAGAGGGCAAAAAGAAGGTTGGTTGGATATACCTGCTTGGATTGCATATTTTAATGGTCCTTTGAGTCACTTCCATCTTTGAGCCTCTGGAGACCTGGCTCTCAGATCTCTCAGTATCTCTTCTACATCTCTTTGTTACCTTTTCTTCTGCATAAGCCCCCTCCTGTGACTGCATTGGCCCCTGCACAATAGGCACCCAGTCTTAGGCATCAGTGTCCTCCAAAGGAAGAGTACAGTGCTGAGACAGAGCCTTGGGTGTTGACTGACTGGTGTCTGCTCTCCTAACCTTCACCTCTCCCATGCGTGAGCTCCTCAGCTGTGGGTGTGGCTCAGGTGCAAACCCTCCATCTCTAGACTTCCTGTCTGATTCAAACTTGTCCCTATAATGATAAACTTCATTATTCTGTAACTCTGAGACTCACTGTCATATGTTATTCCTTGCTGGTTCTGAACCCTAGTGACTTGGAGTGGGTGCCTCCTTTCTCCCTGTTGTGGAGGAACTCTAGACTTTAGGGTCAGGCAGAGAGGGTCTCAAATTCCCACTCTGCTGTTGTATGGCTTGAGAAAGTCTTCATCTGCTTTTCTTTCAGTTTCCTAGCTGTAGAAGTCAGACCTACTGGATGGCTTTTGTTTTGTTGTAGAAAAGATAATGTTTACAAATGCCTACCACTTACAACCATAAAAAATAGGTTACTATAAACAATGCATGTAGAACTCTCAACCAGTAAATCAATAAAAACATGAACACAATGGAAAAATATGGAAAGGATTTTGATAGTTCCCCTCAAAAGAAATAGAAATGTTCATTGAAAATGTAAAAATGTTCAACCTCGTCAATAACCAGGGAAATTAATTGAACTATCTTTATCAAACTGTAAGGGGAAATGCAAGCATCTATTTGTAGCATAAACTACTTGTTAAAAAGTTTAAATATGTGACCCTTTGGCCCAGCTCCTTCTGTGTGATTATAAGCATTCAGCGTAGTCTTGTGCACTGATGGCTGAGTTGCAAAAAGAAAGATGTGTTTAGTAATGGAAAGTTTCTTTAGAAAGAGAAATGTCTTTAATCCCGCTTTGTTTGGGACACTACTTAAACTGGTAGTTTTTACAATTTGGTTTACCAGCCTTTGTTAGGTAGATGACATCTATGCTGTTTTTATTCTCCTCGTCAGAATTAAACTGGAGTTAAATTATCTATTCAGGTGTTTATGTCTTTGAAGCAGGTGTTCCTTCCCTGTGGATTTCAGGGCATGTAAGGCTTGAAGCTTCAGATTTTTATTTTCATTCATTGTAGTCCACTAGCCCTGCTGTAAGTAAGCAAACCATGTACTTTCTTTTCCTGTGTGTATTTGGGTCTGTGCTTTGCTTCACTTTGTCTTAAATTCTTACCCAGGACTTGTACCAGCTTGGTATTAGTTCACTGTAAAATATGTTGAACTCACAGGCAACTTTTTAAAAGAAAACATGTCTCCTTTTGCAATTAGGAAATCAGTCATTGGAGGGATGATGGCTGGTGTAATTGGCCAGTTTTTAGCCAATCCAACTGATCTAGTGAAGGTTCAGATGCAAATGGAAGGAAAAAGAAAACTTGAAGGGAAACCCTTGAGGTACGTTTTCCATTTAACTGATACTTTCCTTTTTCCCCTTGCCTCCATCATAGTTCAAACAGTTACCTGGTCAACTTATTTTTGCAGTTCACTGATAGTATTAATGCCGCCAGCTAACCTGGGTCTCTTCTATACATGATGAAACATACATGTTCTCTGTCAGGCCAGTTACTTGTGTTTCTGACCCTTCCCTACTGCTCCCAGACTAGGCATTTAGACTTCTCCCCTACGCATGTTGTTCTACAGAAACTGATCATTAACGTTTGTCCTGGTGTGAACTCCAGCTTTGCCATTGTGGCTTGGTGTTGTGAAGTCACTAAACATTTCCAGTCTCTGTAGTTTCATCTTTAAGACAGGCTTTCTCAAAATGTTTTCATGACACTTAGTGAAGATGCTGGCTCCAAAAACCTGGCTTTTTCCTCTTTTTCTAAGAAAGAAGGAAAGTAACAAGGTCAGTCTTACAAATTGTTCCCACTTCCATGTCTGATCCCATTCCTGCTGCATCCCAACGCCCTCCTTAAGGATGTTTAAAGATTTTTTGATTATGCTTTTGTGATATAAAATGCAGATACATTATCCAAGAGGAGAAAAGACACAACTCTGACTAAGGAAGGAGTTTACAGAATGCCAGGGCCCATTTTCCCATTTTGGAATGACATGTAATTACTGAGTAGCAGGAAGAAATCACGCAGTCTTGGCTGGGTTGAAGGGGAAAACCGGTTGTTAGAATCCCAAAATCCCTGCAGTTTTAGTTGATTCCCCAGTTGTTTTCTTCTTTGTCTCGAACGTTGGAAAGTTCTGGGTTGTCTGTACTTAATGTAATAAACAACGTGAACCTTGGGACTATCCTAAAAATCCAAAGCCAACCTTTACTACACTTTAGCTTTGTAATAGCAATCAAGTTCTTTAACCATTCCAGCCACAGTTTTCTCAAGTGTAAATTGGAATAATAATGTATATACTTCATAGAGTTTTCAGGATTAAAATGCATCTTTTGAATATAAATGCCTGACACTAAATAGGTGGCCAATACATTTTAGCTATAATCATTGTTTGTGATTATCACTTTCCATGCCTCTTTATCACCACTGTAATTATTCATGTCAAAACTGACCGATTGTCTTTTGGGGAAGATCCAGAGCATGTAATGCCTGTGTAAAAACAACACAGCTAAAGCGAGAAAGGTGGCATTTGACTTTAGGTTTTTCTGACTATAAAAGCCCAGAATTTTCTTTTATAACAGGTTGCTGGGTTGGGTTCATGGTTCAGCATCAATTTTCATCTCTCTCCAGAAATATGAGCAAAATAAAAACAGGATAGTAAATTTTCAGAAATCTAAAATTACTCTAAGAATGCTTAGATTAGCCTTTCTACTTCTTTATCTAAAAATATTGTTTATTGTATGAGATTATATAAGAGCCAATGATTTTGTGTGTGTGTGTGTGTGTGTGTGTGTGTGTGTTTGTTTTCAGTGCTGGGGATTGAACCCAGGGCTTAGTGCATGCCAGGCAAGCACTACACTGAGCTGCCCCCAGCCCTGAGAGTCAGTGATTTTTTAATGCCATGTGGCAGAATTTAAAAACTTGCAGTTCCTCATCATCACCAGGAAAATGAACCCAGAAATCTTACAACTACTCTTTCCTTCTGTAGTTGGTATATCTACTGATGATCTGTCAAGAACAGTATTTTTAATCCTTGAAACAATCTGAAAAAAAGAAGGTAACACAATTTATAGTGATTTCTGTTAAAAATCTTTAAATCAAGTGTTGGCCTTTATGCTAAAGAATTAGGTTTATCTGGAAATTAGACTCGTGCATATTCTTTTAATTTAACAGTTTTGAATAAATATTACTGTACTCCAAATTGTGACAGCTACAGGTGAAGCTTATCCAAGACATTCTGTATGCAAGGATACATCATTTTTACACTTCATTTTTTATATTCCTTAGATTTCGTGGTGTGCATCATGCATTTGCAAAAATCTTAGCAGAAGGAGGAATACGTGGGCTGTGGGCCGGCTGGGTACCCAATATACAGAGAGCGGCGCTGGTAAACATGGGAGGTAATGGAAATGTTACTGGATTCCAAGAAGTCCTAGCTGTCTTGAGAGCTATAAGCTCTTGTATCAGGAATATGAATCTCTGTCTCTTCCCTTAACAGAGAACAAGGGTTTGAGTTTGTCTTGTCCGTGGCTTTCTCCAGTGACTAGAATAGCACCGGGTACGTGGTGGGCGCTGAGATACTTGGTGAACAATCGGATGTGCCTGTCCATTCTTGCCTTCATTAGTTTATTTCCTTATGTGTAGGGGGGGTAATCTGTATAAAACTCCAACATTATGTCACTCTCCTGTTTGAACCCTTTAATAGCTCTGTTTTCAGTAGAAAAAAGTATAAGAAGTTTGATGTAGAATAGTGGTTGGTACTGTTATTTATAATATGGGGCTTCAACTCAGCCTTTGGCTTGCAAAGGGATTTATCAGTTTGCATACAGAGATGGTGGGGTTGAGTTGACTTTGGGCCTAGCTGGACTCAAGGGTTCCAGTGATACAGTGGAGTGCCTGTCTCTTCCTCTTGCCTGTATTCTCCCTGCAGCTGTAGCTCTCCTTTCATTGTGGAGCACATTCTTGCACCAAGCCTAGCATATTCTCAACACAAAAGGCATTCAGTCTTGAACACACGAACATTGAAACCTTCTCTTTCTATTGCCAGATTTAACCACTTATGACACAGTGAAACACTACTTGGTTTTGAATACGCCACTTGAAGACAATATCATGACTCATGGTTTGTCCAGGTAAGTGTTTTAGTTTGACTCTGTTTTCTTCCTTGCATTGTTTCTTTCATTTTGGGGATAAATTCTAACTTTTGGTCTCTTTTGATCAGGCATCTAGTGGTATTGCCCTTAGAGAAAGATGGTAGTACATTTATAGAGTAATTTTCTTAAAGGAGAAAAGACAGATAAATCTGCAGTCAAATGAAACTGCAGATTAAAGATCCCAGAGAACTTCCACCTTGGTGGTAGCATCCTAAGGCAGGCTGGCAGTTACCTTCAGCCTAGTTCAGCAGATGAACCTGATATACCCTTTCTGTTAAGGGCACTGTGCTGCAGGCCCATGGATCCCGTACACAAGCAGAAGTCCTGCCCGGAGCTTCCACCAGGGGGAGCAAGATGAGTTAAATGCTGAGGGAGGGATGGCTCACTGAAGGACTGAGTAACCAATGGAAGGGCCCAGAATTAGATTACAGAAGATTATCTGAAGGGATGGGCTTTTCCTAGACAGGGACAGGAAGAAAGGTGTTTTGAGATGGGACACAATCTTACTCTCTTTACAACATAATTTCACATTCTCCATTACAGTGCATTCCTTTTTAGTATCCACTGTATTTAACTTATAGTCCTTTCTTTTAGCTTGCGAGGTTGGTTTCAAATCCTAGCTCCCTGTACGCTGCTGAGATAATCCAGAAGTGTACTGACATGTCCAGTCAATGATCCTTAAACACACCAAGAGCATCCCTGACTTGGGCTCTTGTTCCTGCTCTTGCATCTGTTTGTACCGCCGTTCCTACAGGGTTCTTCTAGGTGACCGCCTTCTGCTGCCACCCTGAAGCCTTTTCCTGTCTGCCTGTCATCACCCAGTGACTTGGTCACGCTTTCCTGTTTGATTTTCCATTGCATTTGTCAGCGTGTCAGATCACTGATTCCCCCTTGGCCTCTTCACACACAGAGCATGAGCTTCAGGCAGTGTCTTTCCTGTCCTTCCCTGTTTACCAGGGGGCCTAGACCAGCAAATGCGCAGTGCGTATTTATTGACTGCTGTTCTTTTTGTATTTTTTTTCTGCCTCTCCAGTGTATTCAGCATTAATTTTAAGCTAAAAGAGCATAACTATGAAGAATAGTACACTAACATATTTAGTATTCCATTCTTCTTTAATATCTCTTTCAATATCAGTTCCCCACTCTTAAAATTTAGAAGCTACTGTGTTTTGTCTTTCCGTTTCATTTATTTGTACTACAGTTTATGTTCTGGACTAGTGGCTTCTATTTTGGGAACACCAGCTGATGTCATCAAAAGCCGAATAATGAACCAGCCACGAGATAAACAAGGAAGGTAATTAGAAGCTCCTCAGTATTTGCAGGGTTGAATGTCAGTAATACTGTTCTTTAAAGACATAGTTATTCTTGACAGAAAGCTATTTATGTGTTTTTGTGTTTAATGAGGAAACTGTTTTTATGTAATTACCTGCTCTTTGATGAAAAAGTACTATGTATTTGGGGAAATAAGCTAAGTGACAGTAATACTGTTTAGATACAAGGTATTCATTGTGACTTTATTGTTTCCAAAGAGTGTTTGAGAGCATACTCTGCTGAGAATTCACAGAGCACTTTCTTCAGAAGCTTAGGACTTTCAGGTAACATGGAGAATTCAGTTTGATATAAAATAGTGTGCTCTCTCTGGAAGAGTCAGGCGGCACGAGTAAGTACAAGACCAGGGGTGCGGTGAGACAGAAGAATCAGCCATAGAGTTATCTTTAAACTCAAACGAAGCTATCTGCATCTATATGTATACTTAGATCTCTATCCACACGTAGTATAAGACGTTTCCTTAAGCTATGTTATGTGTTCTGTACATGTGCTTAGACAGAAACAACTTAACAAAGCTCTCTGGTTTCCTCCGTAGGGGGCTTTTGTACAAATCGTCGACCGACTGCTTGGTTCAAGCTGTTCAGGGTGAAGGGTTCATGAGTCTGTACAAAGGCTTTTTACCATCTTGGCTGCGAATGGTAAAGTTAGGATTCATTTCTTCTTTCTTATATTTAAGTTGGTGTCAATCCATACATGTTTTCCCTTTTCTCTTCCTATTTGTAGCACGGCCCAGCCCTCAAATCGAGGCCTAACTTTTCTTTGTAAAAATTGTTCTTAGTTTTCCTTTACCTCTTCTCAGAGTTGTATTGCCTTCCTTGGCAGATAAAGGTGAAATAAGTCACTGATAATGGCGCTTCGGTTCACAAACTCAGACCTCTCCATGATTCTGGTCACAAACTAGACTGGATGAGAATTGAATCAAATTTCCCCATGAGGTCAATATTGAACGTAACTATTGAATTTGATTTGGTTCTTATCCAACTTATTTTGTGACCAGAATAGTGAAAAGAATCAAGTTCCTGAACCGAGGTCCCACTGCACCTCCTTTAACAAATAGGGTACGAGTAGCCAATAGATAGGTCTCTCATAATATAAATCCTTCAGAAGTCTATCTAGCTCAAATATAATTGATTGGGATAGGTGCACAGATTTCACAGGACAGAACTTTCTTAGGAAAATTTTACTATTTCAAACAAAATTTGTTACTTTGATGGTAAGTGTTATATTACCTATTAATACTTACTGCCACACACACAAAAAAAACTTTACTTTGTAAAAAGCATTATATCATTCTTATGTGGTTTAGATGTTATTTTTTACTGACGTGAACTAAGGTATAGAATTAGGTGTGCTTAAGTAATGTAGCAAATATAATAAAGGTGAGAAATGCAAATCTTTTATAAGTTAGAAAATATTTTTAAAAAATAGATGAGTTATGGTTTAGAAATTCAAACACTCAAAGATTAATATAATATGTAATATTTTATATAGATTTAATAGAACACAACTCAGTGCAAAGCCCTGCACTGAGGATTTGCCAGGGATAACAAGCTGGAAGTGGCCCGTGTTTTGAGAAGAGTGCTAGGTGCTGTCCATGCTGTCTATACTGGGTGATTAAGCAGCCCTCCCTGGAGATGTTGGAACTGACATGTGAAAGAAGAGTAAGACCCAGCCAGATCAGAGGGACACAGAGAGCGACAGTGCGTGTGGACAGAGAGCTTGACGAGGACACGAGCTGCAGGATGCCCAGCGGGCCAGGGTGCCCAGGCTGCAGAAGAGCAGCTGGGGTGGGGGCAGCTGGAGGGGGGCAGAGGCAGGAAGGAGCGGGGCCTGGCATCTACAGCCATGGCCAGAGGAATCTGCATTCTCAGAAAGAGTTCTTGGGCTTCCCTGGGTTTGGAAAAGACCAGGAATAGTGATAAATGAGGATAAGTTGACAGTTTGCCGGTGGGGTAGCAGAAGGTGGTTGGAAAGGGTTTTAGGATTTAGGGAGGAGGTAGAGACATGACTGAGGACACGAGAATAGATGGGGAGGATAGGGAAATATCAGGCCCTGAGCACTTTGCCCAGATTAGGGTCTTTGGCAGGGAAGAAGGTTTGTAGTTTAGCTACAGACATTTGGGCATTTGGACACCCACAAGATGTCCAGATCGAGATGTCTGGGTGTCCAACTTGATATACAGGTCCGAGTCATAGTAGAGAAATAGGGATAGAGAGTCAGGTTTGAGCACTGCACACAGATAGTGGTCACTGAAACTTCAGGCATAACCGAACCCTGAGATTACCCAGGTGTATCTTAACACAAAAACAAGTAGCCAGATGAGAGCGCTTGCATGCGGCAGAGCCGGAAACTGACTACAGGTCGTGCCTAGCTCCAGCCCTTCTGTCTGTGCTGCAGTAGATGCTGAGATGCTCAAAATCTGTAGCTGGTTTACAGAAATGTTGAAAGAAGAGAAAGGGTATAGTGAAGAGAAGAATTAACAAAGAAAGGTCACTAACTGCCCAGATCTCCAGAACCTCCACCTTGTGGGTTTGCCCCGGTGTCGACTTGGTGACTCACAGCCCAAGAGCCTGACTCATAAGCTTCTCCAAGTAAATGGGCCTTGAAAATGCAGATTCACCAGCTGACTTCATGGACACCGATGGCTAGGCCAGAACCTCGTGCATGCTCACATTGCACACATGGTCCACGTGCTGGCGACGCCAGGGCAGCACACTCTATCCCAAAGTCAAGCGGTCTGAGGCTGCATGCTAACGCAATTGCCATAGAGAAAGCTTACTTTTACTTGTAAATCTATACATAAGAATATCAACCCAAAAGAGCACTTAGGGGTCTAGCTCCACAGTAACAGGCATAGGAAAGGACTCTACATTTTCCTAGCAGTTACAACAAAAGCCAGACCAGAGGAAACCACATGTACATCACAGGTAGCATCTGAGCTGTGCCAGGGAAAAAAACCCTGAGTAAATGTGGTAGACACCCACTACTGCTGTGAGAGGCTGGTAGCCCCCAGCCACTTCCTACCCACTTGATCCCGTTAAGCCTACTGGAACCCAGCCAAACTCCGTCACCATCCCTACTACCAGCTGGAGGTAGCCGGACCATGTGCTGCTCAGCACTGCTAAAGGCTTATTTCATTGGCCCTGTGACTTTGCTGCTACTGTGTTGCCATTGGCATGAAGAACTCTGATTACCTCAGCAATTAGGGGTGATTGCACCTGACTGCAGTGATGTTGGCTCACTTCATTTTTATTTTCATAAAAATAGAGTATTTTCACACCTTTATATTCCTTATTTTGCCTAAGTCTGACAAGATATGTTCTCCTAAGTCTACTATTTAATAAATTCTCAGCTTACCAATAAAACATAAAATGCTCGATATTTCCACGCATGACATATTAGGTTACAAACTCTTTACCAAAATCCATCTTGCATGCTAATTGCTTAAGCTTATATCTTGAGTAGGCTAGAGTTCTTCAGTAAGTCTTAATCAGAAATTAAATCCAGTTAGATCCTTTTTTTTTGTTCTGATATTTACCCCGTAGCATTTATGTCTTCTTCCAGCCTGTAGCCTTTTATAATTCCTCTAGAGATAGCTGTGTCTTTGTTCAATTCAAAGTTAAGCGTTGCAGGTGTTGTGAGACATCAGCTATTAGTGTTATGATCTAACTCATTAGAGATGTGTGACGTGTCAAGTCATCACAGTGCATGTACAAAACCCATGGGGCGGAGCTTACCTAAAAGTTAGGTGTCCTGAGTCCTAGCCCATCAGCCAGGATGGTCCAGTGGAAACCACTCTAGGCTGGACAACAGGAGCCTCTGGTTCAGCTCTACCCCACATCAGCAGGCATTTGACGGCTAAGCGTCAGTGCTCATCTGTAAAGTAGGGATATTATTACTTTTCCTTTCTTTTGTAAACTGCCTCTTAGGCAGTGATATATGATATATGAGACATTAAGACACTTTGTAAATTATAAAGTACTTTACAAAGGTAAAAGAGCAAATATTTGTTTGCAGCTTCAGCGGATTCAAAATGACTTTTGTCACTCAATGATGTAAATGCATATATGTAGACTATTGATCATTGCTTTGAAATATGCACTAACTTCTTTGGTTAATCTTTCAGACCCCTTGGTCATTGGTGTTCTGGCTTACTTATGAAAAAATCAGAGAGCTGAGTGGAGTCAGTCCATTTTAAGCCCTTACAGATACAGTGCTCAGTATTATTGAATGTGGGCATCTGCAACACACACCCCCTTATTTCTACCTCTTTAGGAAGACATTTTACTCCACTGAGACTGTGATTTATAGGGGGCAGCACTTTTTTTTCCCTCTGGAAACCCAAGTTCTCTTTGACTCCTCTTTTTGTCTAAAAGTGATCTAGTCCGATCTCACAAGACCACCCAGTGACCACCCAGCATCTTGTTTGTAAAGAAGAAGGGAACCCTGGCCACTTTCACCTTGGCAGGAAGGCCTGGCCTCTGACACCACTCTGTGTGAAGAGCTTGCTGGGAAGAGGAGGAGCGGGCAGGCACCAGCCTTTCGGATCTGAGCAGACGGCGGGATATAGAGGAATATATACATCTATATACATATATACACACCAGTGCTTCAGAAATATACCCAGCCTGCCCTGTCGGTTGTTATAGTTGAAGTTCGACAACTCGTTGTTCTGTTGTTAAAGTGTACATGGTATGAACTAAAGGGAGGCAAATGAAAGTTCATGAATAAACATTTTGAGTTTCCCTAGTATTGAAGGAAGTCATGTGCCTTTCCTTTTGAGGAGGATGAATGAAGTCAAGTTGAGATGATGTTTGCATTTCAAGGACGGACAAGGTTGATGTCCTTCCAGTCACTAGTGTCGCATTAATTGGCCTCTACACTTGCTAATAATAACTCCCTGACAGCCACAGACTGAGGGTCCTTGACAACAGTTCCCCTTACAACTCAGAATTGTCACCAGCTCGCAGCACTCCTGATCTATAACTGCAACTCGTGATCAAAGCTCAACTGTACAGGTCCTCCTACAAAGGACCTTTTGTGGCCAGCAGCCTTTCAGTGGTATTTAAAAAGCAAGACAGAAAGAAGCCAGCTAGTTGTGTGGGTCCTTTCGTAACCCCTCCCCTAGCACTAATGGCTCTAAGAGAGGGAGAGTAGGCAGAACTCAAAACATCACCCTACCACTGAATCTCCGTCTGATAAATCATCTTGCCTGAAATATGATAAACTCTGGTACACAGTTGTGTCTCCAACTTTCAAATTAAATTCCTTTTCTTATTTTAGAAAGGTAAGAAATTTTTTCAAGTTCACCAGCTCCCCTAAATCTTTAAAGAGTGGCATTTTGGATGGTTGATGTCAGGTATGGGTAGAGGCTGAAATTGTTGAAGTAGGAAAACTCAAGACAAGCAGGCCCAAGAAAGACTGGGCACTAACAAATTCAAATTTACAGTGGACAGGGTTGATGCTGGACGGAAAATCTACAAGTTCCATGTGGTGAAACCAATGTATAGAAAAGCATCTACAAGTTCCATGTGGTGGGACCAATGTATAATCACTGCCATTTTCCAAGGGAGAGTACACTTTAAAATGTATTCTAATGTGCTGTGCTAATATGTAGTAGCTTATCATTTTTCTAGCTGCAGAATGTGGAGTTTAATCTCTTCAAAGCTTTGAATTGTCTATTTTCCTGTTGTGTCTGTCAATCTGTAATTAAGTTGTCAAATATATTTCATATCTATATTATGTGCTTAAATTCCCAAGTGTTCTGCATTGAACTGCCTTGGGGAAACTGGTTTTTTTATGTTTTGTAATTTTTAAAGTTATGTAAAAACTTCATCAAAATAATTATATGTAAATTGAACCATGAAAAATTGATGTAGCTCTATTCTTTAGGGGAGGGGGCATGTGGGATTAAAACATTGCTTAAATACTGACACTGTTCCTTGGTATCCAAATCAATGTGAATAACTGAGATTTTTACCCTAAATAAATGATTCCCTGAGAACACTGGTTTAATTTAATCTTATGCGGTAGGAGACTGAGGCCCAAGAAGTACTGCCAGCTCCCAACACCAAAAGTGATTTAGTAGCAGAACCAGGACAAAAATGCAGAACTCCTACAAATTAGGATTATAGCAAGGGACAGTTACCATGCACCATTTAAGTACCAAGTGAATATTTTTTACCATCTTCACAATGGGCCAGGTCAGTGCTCTTGATCTTCCAAAATTTTTTCCAAGTTTTTTACGGCTTTTTTTTGGTCTCAGTCATTTTGAATTGCCCCCAGTGTAAACTTTAGAATGGAGTCACTGTGGTCCTTCAGTTTGACCCTTGACCCTTCAAAATCTGACCAGATATCGTATATATAGCGTATATCGCATCACATTCCTCAGGGATCTGGGAAATTTGCTTTATTTTTGTGAAATTGGAACCTTCTTGTTCCTTTGCACACAGTCCATGGTAAATACAAAGAGTACAGCTCTCTGAGTTTGTGTCTGTGTTCATGGATGGGACAATTCCTCACTTCAGTTTTGCTCTTTCTCTTGGGCTCAATATTAATAATTCTTCCCATTTACATTCCTTTTGTTTTGCTATCATATTCTTTCTCTTAAGTGCTTTTTTCTTATTGAAAAGTATGTGCACTTAATTACATATAGTTCTCTGTTCTTTAATTAACATATATCATTAAAGAGGTAGCTTTTCTTTAATTTTCTCGTAGGAGTAGTGTGTGTTTTCCTGGGGCTCTGCATCCTGTTTTGTGGTAACCCACTAGTGAGAAGAACATATTTTGTGTTTTTATTTGAATTTCTGCTCACTTTTGTCGCATTCTTTGCTGTTAAATCCTCAGAAAATTGACTATGACTATGGTATATATAACATAAATCATCTCATTTTGTCTTCATTATTTTAAGAACTTTGTGACTCAGGAGTGTGAAACTCTACTTCCACTTTGTTCACAAAAAGAAACAAATTCAGGGACTTTTACAAGGAAAATAATTTGCTGTTCTGTCATCTTCAAATCTCCGAGCACATGTGTTTATAATGGATATGTGTGTTTTCCTGTTGATGAGAACAAAGAAAACATTCCTTCAGGACTTCCCTTAGAAAAATGCTTAATTTTAGTATTTGGTTTAAAAGTGAGGGGGGTTAATAAAGGATTTTCCCCCCAATTAAACCAGCACTGTAAAGACAATTACCAAATATAGATATATATTATTGAATGCTAGGAAAGGTGGAAAGAAAGCAACCTGAACTGTACAGACCATTACTGTGTATTGGGCTCTCTTAACAGAGTGCCCTCCCTTTTGTGGATTTCCATTTCTTTGTAAGATGAAGTGACCCCTGGAGTCTTAACCTTGTCTAGCCTTAAAGGGGAACATTGATGGCATGTTTTAAAAATAGGGCTTACCTTTTTATTGGGATTTATTTTCTCATATGTGGAGATTGAGTTTGTTACACTTGAAGACTTTCAAGTGTAACAAACTTAGGTAGCTGGACTGTCTCATCTTGAAATCTGTCTTAGGGAGAAAGACACCTCTGGCCTTCTTCCTTCAGACACCTCTGGGCAGGTCACCCCCTATTCTCCCTCCAGTTGCTCCTTCCCATTCATAATGTAAAACTTTCATGCCATATGCAGGCACTGCATCCAGCCCCCTCAGCTTTTCAGCCTGTGCTTTCCATGCACGCCAGCTTCTGCAGAAGCGATGGTGTACCTCTTGCCCTGAGACCCTACACTGGGTGCTCCCATGCTGTGTGCCCTGCCATCCACTGCTCCTCTCCCACCATTGCCCATCATGTTCATCTTCACTGTCAAGTCCAACCCCACTTCTGTGTCTAAGATGATCCCCTCTGCTGCTATGGAAGTCTTGGACACCTTCAACACCTCTGCACGGGGGCTTCCTGCTGCTAGACATACGATGCCACTTCCCCAGTAGACGACCAGCTGCTCGCCAGCAAGGATCTGGAATACTTGTCTGATACCTCATAAACTCTACAGAAGGGTCACGGAGATGGTCTTGGTAGAAGTAGGTGGGGTTTATTTTTGGGTGGGGGGTGTAGAGAGAAGAGTTACATACAGAGGAGTAAGTCGTATTTTTTCTCCGGCCTTCAGAAAAATTGTTGGGTGACACTTCTAATTTTGTCAACTGGTTTAGCATGTGAAATACTTAATTTCCTTTTCAAAAGATCATATACGTTTAAATATTTCATAATTTTAGGAAGTATCACCATCAATTTAATATCTATTCTACAAGAGCTAGAATCCAGTAGTTTTAAATAATATAACATTGGGTTAGTAGTTGATTAGTAGTTAATGAGTAAATAATGTATTTCCATTATTCTTCCTTGTAGAGGCTGCATGGAAATGATACTGCTGCTTGGCCTTCGTAGGTACCTACAAATGCACATGCACCTGCTCAGGTGTTTTGTGATTTCTGAATTTTGAGGGATACGTGGTCATATTTCTTTCCCCATACTTTACCCCCAGCAGGCTGCTGTGACTGTCAGCTGCAGTGAGAGCCACTTGGAAGGTTTGCTAAGTGCAGATGAAGATGTTCAAAGTGGTCTGTTTGCTGGTCATATCTGGTAACAGGAATATATGTGAGTAAACATATTGTGCTGTTCTGATTTTTAAAAATAAATTTTAACATGCCTAATTGGTTGTTATCAAGGGTTTTTTTCCCCCTGCTGTGGTTTGGAGTTAGTGTGCAAATTAAAAAGTGGAGACATGGTTTATTTTTAAAACCTGAATCTTTACTGCTTTGCAAGTTAGCAAAAATTTAGAAAGTGGAATTGAATATTCAAGAATAAGTTCATCAGGAAAAAATGAAAAGCGTTTAGAGAAATCAACATTTATTCATTTAGCTAATATGTATTGTCTCTACCCCAGGCTAGATTCAGTAACACAAGGATTGGGTATGGGTAGTCACCCAACACACGCTATCACCAAAGGGTGACACGGGGTGATATGAGGCCACACCCGGTGGCCTCTGATCTGGACAGACCGAAGACACTGTGATTTGCACTGTCAGGCCAGGGTCTTACGAAGCACACAGTGTGTGTGTCAGAGAAGCTCCCAGGGATGTGTGTGATTTTGCACATGCATACATCTGGAATGCAGGCGCATCCTGGGAGCCTCTCACACAGTTCGCTTCGGTTCCCAGGCCACCTCCGCCTGGAGGTTCCAAAGGGTGTCCAGGGGAGAGGCAGGTGTAGGAACAAGTACTGGATCCGAGGCTGCGGACACTGCGAGCCTAAAGACCTCCTGTGGCCAGGCCACATGGTGCTAGCTCAGAACACACCAAGAGCACCTTCTTAAGTGGGTCGTGGGGCCCAGGACCTGAGGGGAAGGAGTATTTGCCATGCCCCCTCTCTCCTTATGGTCCCTTATGGACGTAGGGAGACCACATAGGGTCAGCTACTTCCTGGGGGCCCCCCGCGCCCGCGTCCTCCATGTGCGCATGCGCCCTAGAGTCTGGCCGTTCGCTGCCCAACGCCCAGCACGCGCCCTAGTAGGCGCAAGCACTCAGGGAGCCCTCTGGGGACTAGCTGGAGGGACGCGGCAGCAGTGATTTCGGGCCAGGTCCTTATCGTGGAGCCCAGGCAGGTTGTGCCCCCGCGGGCTCCTACGCGCCCCTCCAGGCCGGGTCTCCTGAGCTCAGCTGGTCCTACCCATCCCCCCCGCCCGGTCCCGTGTGGCCCCTACCTCTGCCCACCGCGCCGGTCACCATGAGCTGGGTACCGCCGCCCGGGACCTGGCTGGCGCTGCGGGTGTGCTCGGTGGACTCGCGCCCCGACTCGGTGCCCGCGGTGCTGCGGATGCGGCCCGGAGGCCCCAAGGCGAACGGCGAGGCGCTGAGCTGCGTGCTGGCCGGCCTGGTGCCTGCCGGGTACGGCGCGGGGGAGCCGCCGCGCTGGGCGCCGGACGCCGTGAGCTTCCTGAGCGCCCTGCGGGGCCGCGAGATGCGCGGCCGGATAGCGGAGGTGCTAACCTCGCCGCGGCCGCTGGTGTTACTGGACTTGCCTGCCGTGGCGCAACGCATGCAGGAGCTGGGCCTGGCGCGCCAGGTGCCCGACAGCCTCTTCCGCCCTCTGCTGGAGCGCCACCTGCTGCGCCGCGCGCCCGAGCCACCCGGCCCCGACTACTTCTACCCGCAACTGCAGCGAGGCGTCACGGAGCCCGTGGTGGTCACGCACGTGTGCCACCCGCTGCGCGTGCACTGCCAGCTCCGCGGGCTGGCGCAGGAGATCCGCCTGCTGTCGGAGAGCATGGCACAGGCCTACGGTGGCGCCCCGGGAACGCCTGATGTTGCCAGGCCGGGGGCCCCCGATGACAGCCCGGATGACAGCCCCGACGAGAGCCCGGATAAGCCGGGTGCACCCTGCGCCGCCTGCGGGCCCGACGGGCGATGGCACCGGGCGCTGCTACTGACCACGCTGCGGGCGCGGCGCTGTGCGCAGGTGCTGCTCGTGGACCTGGGGCGCCAAGAGCTCGCGAGCCGCGCCCGCTTGCGACCCCTGCTGCCTGAGCATTTCCGCATGCCGGTGGTCACCTACCCGTGTGCCCTGCTCGGGCTCTGGGATGGCGGGCGGGGCTGGTCCCGCGCGCAGGTCCGCGAACTGCGGGCGCTGCTGCTGGACCGTGCGTTGAGTGCTAAGATCGAGTTCTACTGTGCCTTCGAGCATGTGTACTATGTCACCCTGTATGGCGATGACGGCGTCAACCTCAACCGTGTGTTCGGGGAGCAGACGTGCTCCTTGACCGACCAGTTCCTGCAGAGCTCAGGAAAGGAAGAAGAGGAAGAGCAGGAAGAAGACGATGAAGAGGATGGAGAACAGGAGGAGGACCCAGGAACGCAGGTGGGGGCCCCGGACGCTGCCCTCCCAGGCTTAAGGTCGGTCAGGCTGAAGCCCAGCACTTTCTACGATGCCCAGGTGGAGTTTGTCACCAGCCCCTCCGAGTTCTGGATCCGCTTGAAGAAACACAGCAGCCCCTTCAGCAGGCTATCGAGGAGGATGTGCAGTTTCTACACCCTGGCCAGCAAGCTGGAGGGTGTTGTCCTGAAACCTGAGGCCGAAGACCTCTGCTGCGTCAAATGGAAAGACAATGGCTATTACCGGGCCATTGTCACCAAACTTGGTGACAAGACTGCGGAGGTCTTCCTGGCTGACCGGGGCAACACAGAGCAAGTGGACTTGGGTGATCTACGGATGCTGCTCGCCCAGTTCAGGCGGCTGCCCGCGCTGGCCCTGAAGTGCACCCTTGCGGATGTGTGGCCTTTGGGAACAGCTTGGAGCCAGGAGGCGATCTCCTTCTTCAAAAAGACTGTGTTGCACAAAGAGCTGGTCATCCACACCCTGGATAAGCGAGCGCAGCAGTATGTCATAGAGATTCTGGATGAGTCAAGAACAGGGGAAGAGAACATCGGGAAGGTGATTGCTCAAGCTGGCTATGCCAGGTATCAGGAGTTTGATGCCACAGAAGGCATGGCAGTCCATGCGCACTCCCTGGAGCGAAATTCAGACCATTTCATTGCTGAGAATGACAAAATACCTTCTGCCACAAAGGTAGAAGAACAGATATCGGAGAGAGATAAAACTCAGTCTGTTTCAGAAGCTGTGATAAGTGCAATCACAGTTAAAAACATTTCAACTGGAGGAGTTGTACAGGAAAAAGGGAATGTAGTGTCTGTTTATTCTTCTCTGACACCACCGGGCTTCTTGACAATGAAGCTGGGGTCCTCTTCGATAAAGCTAGAGGTTGGAAGTACAGTAAAGGTCAAAGTGTCTCATGTTGAAAACCCTGGGGATTTCTGGTGTCAGCTGGCCAGGAACCTACACAAATTTAAAGCCCTAATGTATGACATTGAGGACTATTGCAAAACCACAGCAGCCCCTTACCAGGGGGCCTCCCCTGCTTGTTTGGCAAAGCGGGCAGCAAGTGGAGAGTGGTCCAGAGCCCTGGTGACAGGAGCACTGTCTGAGGAGCATGTCAGAGTACACTTTGTAGATTATGGAGACACAGATGTGGTCTCTGTGAAGAACATTTATTCAACTAGTGACAGGTTTCTCAAGGTTACAGGTTTGGCTTTCCGGTGTAGTCTTTATAATTTAATTCAACCAACTGGTGAAAGTCCCTTTGTTTGGGATGAAAAGGCGACACAAGCCTTCAGTGAATTTGTGCATAATGCACTGCAAAACTATCTAGAATTAAAATGCACAATATTTGCCGTGGTCTCGGTACATAATGAACAGTTTAATGTTGTGGATTTGCTGACACCTTTTCAGAGCGCATGCTACACTTTGGTAGAAAAGAGACTTGCAAGACCTGTAAACCTTCAGAAGCCTCTGGAGTCTTCTGTTCAGCTACATTCCTACTACTATTCTGCACATGACGTGAAAATTGGAAGTGAGGAATCAGTGTATATAACGCACGTTGATGATCCTTGGACATTTTATTGCCAGCTAGCAAAAAATGTGGATATTTTAAAACATTTGTCATGTCATATAACACAACTAATTAAAGTTTTACCTAGTACACAAACATTGTCCTTGACCTGTGGAAGCTTATGCCTTGCCAGATATACTGATGGCAACTGGTACCGTGGACTAGTGATTGAGCAAGAACCGACTAAAGTCTTCTTTGTTGATTTTGGGAATGTTTATGTGACAAGTGATAATCTGCTTCCAATTCCTCATGATGCATATGAAGTTTTGCTTTTGCCTATGCAGGCTGTGAAATGTTCATTATCTGATATTCCTGATCGAATGCCAGAGGAAGTTACGTCATGGTTTCAGGATACTGTTTTAGATAAGCCAATGAAGGCCTTAGTTGTAGCAAAGGATCCAGATGGAAGACTGATTATAGAGCTATATGATGACTGTATTCAAATCAATGCTATTATCAATGAGAAGTTTGGGCTACTTGGTCACAAAGCTACAACAAGGGGCAAAGAGAAAGAAAGTGAAACACTCCGCTCCACAACTGAATCTCTCAAAGAAAATAGTGAAACTGTGAACTTTTCATCTATGGAGCATTCAAGTAAATCAGCGGAGAACCAGTCACACACTTTAGAGAGTTTGGGAGAATCATTCAAGCCTATGACCAGCTCATCATGGAATAAGCTCAGACATTTACAAAATTCAACAAAGACCAACTGTGTCACTCACCATCAGTGCTCTATGGGAAACAAAAATCAACAAGTATTGCTATTTACTAGAGAAAAGGAAGACATTTTTGATGACCCACCTTTGAAAGCCACAAAACCAGAAGCCATCCTGTCAGAGAAAATAGAAGAGTCATATAACAAAGATCTGCCTCTCAAATTCTATGAGTTCCCACAGAAGACGATAATGCCGGGCTTTAAAACAACTGTATATATTTCACATATTAATGACCCTTCTGACTTTTACGTTCAGCTAACAGAAGATGAAGCTGAAATTAATCATCTTTCAGAGAGATTAAATGACGTGAAAACAAGACCCCAGCATTATGCAGGTCCTTTGCAAAAGGGAGACGTAATATGTGCCGTCTTCTCCGAAGATAGTTTATGGTATCGTGCTGTGGTCAAGGAGCAAAAACCCGACAACCTTCTCTCTGTGCAGTTTATTGACTATGGAAATATTTCCATGGTCCACACTGACAACATCGGTAGGCTTGACCCCATGAATGCATTGTTACCACAACTGTGCATTCAGTGTTCGCTAAAGGGACTTTGGGTTCCTGACACTGTCAAGTGCAAAGAAGTGACGCATTACTTCTCCCAAAGGACGGATGAGGCTCAGATAAGATGCGAATTTGTTACACTTCAAGAGAAATGGGAAGTTATTCTTGCTGATAAACATGGGATTATAGCAGAAGATATGATTAGCAGGTATACTTTCAGTAGAGAACCTCAAATATGTCTTTCTACCCAAATAATTAAAGGTGACTATGCCAAGTCTGCTCATAAGTCAGATATTGACACTACAGTGTTGCTCAACTGGCATAATCCCCAAATGAAGATGGTAAGAGCTTATGCCATGGTTGTAGATGGACCTGAGTATTTCTGGTGTCAGTTTGCTGATACTGAGAAACTTCGGTATTTAGAAGTTGGAATACAAACTGCTACAAAGCAGACCGTAGATTGGAGAGACAGTGTCCGATGTCCTCGCATTGGAAATCCTTGTATGGTAAAATATAGAGAAGATGGGCATTATTATAGAGCACTCATCACTGATATTCGTGAAGATCATCTTTTGTCTGTCAGGCTTATAGACTTTGGGAACGTTGAAGACTGTGTGGACCCAAAAACGGTCTTGAATATTCCTCCTGAGCTCTTATCCATTCCCATGCAGGCCTTTCCATGTTGCCTTTCAGGATTTAACATTTCAGAAGGCTCCTGTCCTCAACAGGGAAATGATTATTTTTATGAACTAGTCACAGAAGATGTGTTGGAGATAACAATTTTAGAAATCAAGAGGGATGTTTGTGACGTCCCTTTAGCAGTTGTTGACTTGAGAAGCAAAGGTGAAAGTATTAATGAGAAAATGAAGAAATATTCAAAAATTAACATTGCTAAGAGCTTTCTGCCTTATCAGAAAGATGGGCCAGAGATCAAGGGAGCCCTTGGGTACCCCCAGCCTGATGTTGGATTTAAGAAACTAAGTAATAAAGTTGTGCAAGGTAAAGCCTTGCACGTGGAACCACAAGCAGATGAGCTTTCTGAAAGGATTGCAAAAGATTTAAACATTGAAACCAAACCGAGCAGATTCTGTGACCTTGGAACTGATAACATTTTTAAGGCTTTTGAAAACCCTTGTGAAGCTGGAACTGGTTCTGTCCTAGAAGCCAGAGAAGAGTGCTACTTGGGTGACCGGGCAGTGTTTGATGATGAGTTCCTGGTTACAGAATTTAACACATTATTGCCACGTGCCAGTGAAACCACAGAGAGCTTAGAACTGAATTCCTTTGAGGTTCCACTTTCCCCTGATGAAGACTTGAAAGAATTCGTGGAACTAGAATCCCTTCAGTTACAGCCTTCTCCCATCAGGGATGAAGACAAAGAGGATCTAAGCCTGCAGCCACCAATTATGCCACTCTCCAGAGGCTGTGACACGAAAGCTACCCTGGAGCCATTTCCAGTGCAGCTTCCCCACAGCTGTGAGTCTGAGACACAGCCAGAAATGGAACTTCCCAAAGCCCCACTGTCTCCTGAGCACGTTGTGGGCCCCCCGTCTGTACCGGTTGGTGAGAAAGCCCAAGAGGCTGGGTGTGTGGAGGGTGCAAGAGAGGCAGGCTGTGGAAACCCTGTGGATGACCAGCTCAGGGTGCCCGTGCATCTCCACGAGGAGAACCGTGACCCCACGATGCATGCAGAAACAAGTCTGTTTGAGGAGAAACTCCCAGAATACAAAAACATGGATGCCATTTCATCCTTAATACCTTTGCTCCCTCAAGAAGGACTCAGAGACAGAAAGAAACAAAGTCATGCTTCACCAGATAGTGGCTTAGGTATGTGAGTTTGTTTTCTTGCACTTTAAAGTTTAACTTAGAATCTTCCAGAAGTTCTTTTTTTTTATTATTTTAAAGGAAATGGAGTATTATACAAATTTCTTAAATAAGTTTTTTTTTAAGAAAGATTAATTGCAAAGAGGTGAATCACATTTAGATTTTTAAAGGGGATTTTATTTATTTATTTGGGTGGTTACTGTGTTGGTTATTAATTATGGGGTCTTGCTAAGTTGCCCAGACTGCCTTCAAACTTTTGATCCTCCTGCCTCAGCCTTCTGGGTAGCCCAGATTACAGGAAAGTTCCACCATGCCTGGCTTTTATGAAGGACATTTTAAACATGGGGAAAATTAGTTGTGAAATTAATGTAAATTAAGATAATACTAGGTGAAGTGCTTAAATATTAACTTTGTGTTCAAAAATAAAATGCTTAAAATCGATGTCTTCAAAAGGCAAGTACTCCTTGTGCCATAAAAAAAAAAGGCAAGCACTTTCCAAGTGTAAGGACATAGCCTTAGCAGCAAAGTAATGTATGGGTTGGTGAACTGCATTTACAGTAGGGTTCTTTTTAGTTTTTCAGACTTAGCTCATCATGTGTTTTATTTTGCAGTGCGTTTCTAAGCCCTTTCATAACAACAAAAAGAAGATTCAGGGAACTCACATTAACCAGTGCAAGTTAGCAGTCAGGGCTAAAGCTTGAAGAACATTTATCGTATTTACTTTCTGATAAATTATTTTCTGATCATTTATTTATAAGTTATTATAAATTGTTATTTTCTTTGCTACCTACAAAGATTTAGAAGTTAACTAAGTAGCTAACTTTTAGGCTTTTAAATGTCATACTTCTTAAAAGTCAGTTTTTATATTATTAAATTTGAATAATGACACACAACAGAGAGGAAACGATGACATAATGAGAATGAAAATCATACTCTTCCCATAGAGAAATGACTGGTTGTAGAAGCGCAGTCTTCTTGTAGTCACTTACCTTTTTGGTGTACATCTCTCTGCATACAGTTTAAAAGCTAAATGCAGACCATACAGCCCTACCGTGTGTCCTGTGTGTTGATCCCTTGAAGCGATTTTAGAATACTTTAACTGCATAGCATACCGTGCAACGGGTATATTGTCATTTCTGTGACCATCACCTTGCAATAAGTCTTTATTCCTCATTGTCACCATTTAATCATAGTAAGTACTGGCTTGTGACACCAGTAGCCACTCACTCACAACATGCTGCCTGCTGTAGGAATGGCTGTCATGATTATAGACAGCATCATCGGTAACAAGAGTACCAGGTTTTAGTAGTAACTTGCAGTGTGCGTGCTGCATCTACGTGGTTAAAGAAAAGGAGAGGAGTATAAGGGGAGGGAACACTGGAAAGATTTAAAGTAAAATTGAGGACAAGAAAGACTGGGAATATATGGCTACCTTTATAGTAATAACATGATATTGATGATATTGGAATAATAAGTGCAGATTAGGAAAATGCTTTGCTTATGTATCACACAAAAGAATCGAGAGGTACCCACTGGGTCCCCCTCTGTTCCATTTGGCAGCTCCAATGCAGAACACTTACACTCTGAAAGGATTTACTGTTGGATCCAAATGTGTTGTGTGGTCGAGTCTCAGAAACACATGGTCTAAGTGTGAGATTTTGGAAATAGCCGAAGAAGGCACAAAGGTAAGGGAAATTCAGATGTTTTATATCAAAATGTATTTGCAGACTTAGGGAATTTTAGTAACTTTTACCATGCGGCAGAATGCAGTTAGTGGGAGTTTACCTGCTTGTTCCCTCTGGTAATTTGATATAGTACAAAACTCTTATTAAACATTCATATCAGAGAATCCTAGCAAGAAATGACCCTAGGTTCTTACCACCCCAATGACATAGTCACTCGCTTTGCACTTCTTACCTCTGATTTAGAGCAGTTCATACCTAATGCCTCTACTTCGGCAGAGCCTTTCCTTTCACAGCTATATTACTCTAGTAATCTTTTACTTGATTTACTTATTCTAGTCTTCCTTCAACTGATTGTCCACCCCACTAGTATGAAGCTGGTCAAATGCAAATCTGACTACATCATTTCTGGGTAAAACTTTTTAGGGACTTCCAGTTCACTGTGTGTTTCCTGTAATCTGAAAACTACCTGGACTAGCACCACTTGGTATGTTTTTTAACTGTAGATTTCTGAGCCTTGGCCTGGCCTGCTGATTCAGGCTTTCTGGGGACAGGGTTCCAGAATGTACATGTGTATGCCATAAAACTTGGAGAACCACTGGTCTAGAATAAAGGCAGGCTCATTAACATGACATAAGAGATCCTGGAGGGCTGAGTGTCTTAAACTCCTCCAGTCCTAACTCTTCTTTATATTTTGTACTTTGCATTAGATAGCACCCAGTGCTTGACTTCTGTATCTAACCATTCTGCTTGCTGCTTTGTGTATGTAGTAACACCGTTCTGGTTGCCTGTATTGCATCCCATTCCCCCAAATTCCCCAGAGAGTTAATTTCCACTTATCTTTAAAGATTCGCTTTAGCCATTATCTCTTTCAGGAATAATTCACTGACATCATTTCCTAAATTTCACTATATCTTTGAACACTCTTCATCCATAAAAGGGCTTTTATATTTGTGTCATATTCTTGTATGTAAGTGCATAGGAACAGGTCTCCTTCTGCAGAGGTCTGTGCATCCTACATGTGTTGTGTTCATCTGTTCATAGGTCTTTTCTTCACAAGATTGTGATCACTTTAGGCTTAAATTTCATTCCTCTTTGTTCTCCAGGCATACACACTCAATATATCTCTTTTGAACTAAAGTAGCATTGAGTTTGGGATATAATATTGAAGTTTAACACAGGACAATCATTCTCTTTGTCTCGTAAAGCGTTTCCTTTTAAGGATTGCTGTGGTACATAAATCAGTGAGTTTCAGGAACTTGCCAAGTTTTATTACATTTTCTGTTGTAGGTTCTGAACCTTTCAAATGGCGTGGAAGAGCTGGTGAACCCAGAGGATGTCTGGAATGGCATTCCCAAATCAGAAAAGAGTCCATCAGAGGTGTGGAATTCTGTGAGCCATTCATTCGTGAGAGCACTGTAACAAACTGTTTCCAAAGTCCTTGCATTAAGAACAATGCTGCAAAAACACTACAACAATAACAGCTAAAGGGGCTGGGGATTTAGCTCAGCGGCACAACGCCTGCCTGGCAAGTGCAAGGTCGTGAGTTCGATTCCTGGTACCAGAAAAAAAACAAAACAAAACAAACAAACAAACAAAACAATAACAGCTAAAAACATCCATAACAAAAATTGGTACTTCTGGCCAAGTATCCAACAAACTAGTTTGGGAAAACTAGTTATTAGTGCTTTATTCTTTGTTTTTCATCTTGAGGTTAAAGAATGAAAATTATTGGGGAAATAATCTGGGAAACAATCTGGGCAATGTGACAGAATTAAAAGTGAGAAGGTAACAGTCACCACTGATATGCCTGTCCAAAGACAGACAGGTCAATTAGCTTGATTTTCTTCCAGAATTTTCCTTTATGTTGAAGTAGTTCACTTAACTATTATGGACACAATTGATGTGGCAGTCCATGTCATTTTATATTCCATTCTTCGACTAAGGCTATGTGGTGGGCATTCTCCTTTGTCATTATGATTTTTCTGGATGTTTAAGTTTATCCTGTTTTGGGTTTGTTGAAGTTATTACTTCACCAATCTTTGTCTGGTGGTTCCCTCTTGGTCACTTTCCTCATTGCTGGGACAAAATACTTGGCACCTGCAGTTTAAAGGAGTGCTTGATTTTGGTGCACGTCTTTGGTCCACAGTTGGCCGGCTCCAAGAAAGCGAGGCCTGGTGGTAGGGCCTGGGTGAAGGAAAAGCCGCTCACATCATTGCAGCCAGGAAGTAGAGACGGAAGGGACCCCCCCAGAAGGAAATAAACCTTGCCGGGTTGCACCCCAGGGACCCACTTCTTCCAGCCAAACCCCACCTCCTAAGAGCACGTTCAGCTGCAGCACCCCGTCATCCAATCACCTTTCAAAAGCCTCACCTATGAGTGCACAATGCTGTGGGAGGACACACCCACACAGAAACCATCCCAGTTCCAAAATCTCAGGAGTTGCTACTGTTGGTTGTCTTTTCCTGGGGAGATGCTCAGCTTTCCCTGGTGCTTTGTGTGTGGAGCAATTTTGGGTTATAACGTGAATGTAGTGAATCTTAGGTGGAAGACCTGGATCCTGTTCACGGCTTGTGCAGAAGGTTGAAGCTCGTGTTTCCACAGGCCATGAACCCCCTTCTGCTGCATCACAAGCTCCGCCCCCTTCTGGTGGCTGGTTCTCACGTCAGTTTCATGTTCAGGCTACACGGGCATTGGTCTGGGACTCAGACCATGCTTTGTGGAGTCATCAGGAGGAGGAGCTTTGGAGGTTTCTTTGATTCTGTTCTGCCTAGCACAGCTATGGTGATCCCAGATACATATGGCTTCCTGGAGGGGAAGAGGTCTACAGTTGTGGTGCTCTTCTCCTTCCTGAGCTTTCCTCCACACTTTCTGGCTCTTGGGCTTCTCTTTTATCTAGTCCCCAAAGGCCTCTTCTATCCCCACCCCTGGCCACAGAGTACATACCGGTGTGCCTTGCCAGTTTCCCTCTGCGGGCATGCACTTCTGTGTGGCTGAGTCTGTGTCCGGAGCAAAGCAGATGAACGAAAAGGGAGAAAGTAAGAATTCTCTCCCTTTCCTGTGCAACTAACGCAAGCCTCATCCACCCTAGTTCCACTGGCCAGATAGATGGAGTGTCCCATGGCTTCAGGTCCTGTGTGGCCACTGCTGCCAGCAGGCAGAACCCGAGTGGCTGCCCTACAAGACAGGAATGGGGAGAAGCAATGAACTAACAACATCATAGAAGCCATTCCCACATACGGTCTATTTTCGAACACGCAGGAATCCTTTTTCCTAACTTCTGCTAGTGATAGGGGATTCTGTCAGAGCGCTGCTGTCCACCCGCTGAGCAGTTTTGAATTGGCCCACCCTGAGATCAAAGCCAGAGGACAAGGTGGTGGAGAAGCAAGAGGAGGAGGAAGGAGAAGGAAAAAGGGAAGAAGGGAAGAAAGAAGGAAGGAAGGAAGGAAGGAAGGAAAAAGGAAGAAAAAAGGAAGGAAGGAAGTAGGGAAGGAAGGAGAGGAGGGAGGAGATAGGAAAGAGAAGAAAGGAAGACAAGGAAGGGGGTAGAGAAGGAAGAGGAGGGAAAAAGAAGGAGAAAACAGGGAGAAGGAGGAGGAGGAGGAAAAATCTCATCTCTAATGTGAGCCATTATGCAAGTTTTGTCTTGAGCTGTCAAACTGCCTGCTCCTGTTTGCTTTTGAGAATTCTCAGCTGTCATTTTCTGTGTTGTGTCCAGAACCTCCAGGTATAAGCGGTGGGAGAGAGGGGCTCTTTAGGAAGCTGGCTCCATCTTGGCTGTAAGCAGAGGCCATGTGCAGTATTTGATAGCTTTCATGGGCCACCATGCCATGCACTGAAGCATTTCCTGTGGAGTTGGCTGTTTAAATACCTGGACAATGTTCACATTAGAAACCATGGTATCTTTCTTCCCCTCCTCGTGTTAATTCTGCTTTTGTTTACTTGTCAAAAAATAACTGTGTGCTACACTTTTATTGCATCTCGTTTACTAAAACTTTCTTTTACATACTGATTACCTCTGTCTATTAATTTTGAAAACTCCACAGCCAAATACGGAAAGAGAAACAGAGAGAGAGGAGACAGAGATAGAGGGAGAGAGGACTTTAGTTAAATAAAATAATGTAGATCTACCAAAGAGAAAAGATTTAGGACTATTTAAAGTAGACACAAACTAATACCTATAAACAGATATACCTGCAATTACCTCTGACTTTAAGGCAATTGTGAGATATATATAGAAACTATTTATGCGTAAGGCTTTCAAATATTTGATTTGGTTGTTCATAGGATTTAAATGATCCTTTCCTCAAAGTTGAGGGAGCTCTTCAATGAACATATTTGTCTATGAATGAGCTAGTTTTTCTTAAAAAGTGAATTCTATGAAGTATTAAATTATGTACAACTTTTCATGACATATCAAATCCTTACAGTCTGGGTGTCTTTCTGATTATATTTTGTAGGAATTTAAAATCTGAGCCATCTCACTTCACCGTAAGGAAATGTTTCATTCATTAGGTTTGCTGTCACGCTAAGCCTGCGCACCACGCTTTGAGTTAAGGGGGAGGTGGGAGGAATCTGTCACTCCATGTTAAGCTTTAAGTGAATCTCCTGGCTCCTGGGACAATGTGTTTGAGTGGTGACTCCACGGACAGCAATGTCCCTCCTCCTTCTTCCACCCAACACCCAGCTTGCCCAGGGGTGGGAGCCCTGTGTGCTCCAGCAGAGAAGTGCAGATCTGAAGAATACAAAGTATACTCGGTGAATCTTCACTATGAAACCTCACTGTCCAGTTTTAATAGGAATTCTTCTTGTAGTTTATCTTTTCTCTGGCTTATGTATGATCCTGTTTCTGATTTTAAACTGTTCTCTACTTATAATTTTTAAAATGGTAATAATCTAAAGTTTTTTTTATTAGGCTTCATTCCAAACACCGGAGAAAGGTCTTTCATTCCTGTCATTGGATGACACTGCATCTCAAGGTAACCTGTGTTTTTAAACCACAACCTTCATCAACCAGGATTCCTTTTTTTTTTTTTTTGGTTTTTCTCCGGTACCGGGAACCGAACTCACGACCTTGCGCATGCCAAGCAGGCGCTTTTGCCACTGAGCTAAATCCCCAGCCCTTCAACCAGGATTTTTAAGCCTGAATGATATCATTACCTTGAATCTCTAAAAACAAGATTTGTCAGTTTCTTTAGATGCTCTTTGTATGAAAAAGGAAGGAAGGAAAGAAGGAAGGAAATTGGAAATTTTAGTAAAATGTTTACATGTGTTTAACAGGGATAATTAAGAGGATAAGTTCTTGAAATGTCAGAGGAAATTTGGTGGGTTTTCTACTTTAAAAAGTAAACTGTGAGCCTGGTAAGGTTGTGTTTTAAAGAACTTTCAATATTTTTCTCAGTATTAATTAGTTTATGTCCAAGTGATGATGTCTTTATGTTAATCTTTTAAAATTTTGCTGTAGATGTTTAGTTGATCTGTGTGGTGAGAGTCAAGTTGCTGATTGTTCTGAGTTACGTACTGGATGTTCAGAACCAGTACCCTGGCTGTCACAGTTGAAGAACATTCAGCATGAAGTCAGCTGCCGGCAGCTTTGGTCTTACGTGAAAAACACACACCCATCCAAAAGAAAAAGAACTATATTGGTGATGAGCCTTGTTAAGCTCCCTCTAGCAAAGGACAGCCAGTTTCATAATCTTCTGAAGAAATGTGGATGGTAGGCACAGTGTAAGAACCAAACGACTAAAAATGTCATTATGTCTATTCCCTTACAGTAATTAGAAACCTCTCGTTTCCTTCTCCATGTTCTTAGCGGTCGTTGGATACGTCATGCTTGAGTCCCCAAACATAATTTTGCTGTCTTAATATTTCTTTCTCAGATGAAGGTGTTTCTCTTCTTGTCTCAGAAGAGGAGTCTGGAGGTGACCTTGGTTTTTCTGAGGACCCAGACAGTTGCTCAAGTGGTGTCTCACCCGGACCAAAAATACCGGAGAAGGCCGGCAGCACATCACCACAGGATATTGTCACTTTTGAGAACTGATGTGTGTTAAGAACAAAATAGGCCTGTGGTTGGCTGTAGAGTGTATTTACAGTGTGACTCTTGTATTTATGGATTTGGGATCTTTCCTCTACCTTTAATTATTTTTATGTTTCTATTCAGCGGGGAGGATTTACATTGCTAAACAATTTTGTTAACATATTATTCATGTTTCAAAAGTAAAACCATTGACATCTTTTTAATATAATGTTTATATTCAAATAGAAAAATACAGGTTTGTGACAAGTCTGTTACATGGCCTTATTTAGTATGGCTTTGTTAGCAGTAACTTCTTCAGAATTTTTATTTGAGTTTTGAATTTTGCTTTGTCTTTCTAGTTAAATGTTTATTATTATTATTATTATTCTGTTTGCTTATGTAACACGAGATTACAATAAAGTTTATCCTCAAAGGCATGGCGGTCTCACTTCCTTCTGCCTGTGGTTCCATCTCTCTTCCCCTGAAATTGGGGCTTGGGAAAGTTTAGTAATATTAAATATTGACCATCATGTGTTAACTGATACTGTAAAGGCCTTGTCCCATTTTAATCATCAACTTTTAGGTACAGAATAATGTTATCCATATTTTATAGGTGAGAAAATTAAAAATTTTTAGAGACGTGAAACAACTTGCCTAGGGTCAGCTAGGGACTCTCAGAGTGTGATCAAGCTCACACACTGCAACTTCAAAGGCCTTGTTTTAACATCTGACCTTGTAAGGCTACATGGTGCAAAGCACATGGCTCTTGGCTATATTCTACTTACTAGACAAGTGGCCCTGGCAGGTTATATAATATCTTTCAGTCTTAATCTTCCTTATATGTAAAATGGCTATGATAAAACCTTTCCTGCAGTTTTTCTTTCTTCCTTTCTATTTTTTATGGTTTTTTTTTTGTTGTTGTTGTTGTTTAGTTTTTTGAGACAGGGTCTCATTGTGTAGTCCAGGCTGGCTTTGAACTCACAGTGATCCTCCTGCCTCACCCTCCTTAGTGCTGGGATTATAGGTGTACATCACCACACCTAGCTCTTGCTGTTTTCCTAAAATTAGAAATAATTTATACTTTATGAAAAGGAATAAACATTTGGCAAATGTTTCTGTCTTTTCCCTGAAAAAGACTGTGTTCTAGATTTTTTTCTTTTTAAACTTTAACTCAATGAGTATGTTCCTCAGTTATTTTCTCCTTTTGGCATCTGCCTGTGCCACCAATGAATAATTGCAAAAAATGTGCTCTTTAGAGTTAGATGTGGTAGTGTATACCTATAAGCCCAACACTCTGGGAGGCTGAAGCAGGAAGACTGCAAGCTTGAGCTCAGCCTGGGCAATTTAGCAATTTGGCGACACCCTGTCTCAAAAAAATCAAACTAATAAAAAGGACTGGGGATACAGCTCAATATGAAGACTCCAAGTTCTATCTACAGTATTACAGATGACCTACCAACCAACTGGATATCATCTCAATAAGTGGAAAGGAGAGGGGTTTGTATTAACAACAATTAAGGTGATAAACATATTGCTTGTTCCTAGGGTAATGAATCGGTAGACAAGTCGGGCTGGCTCATTAGGAGACACAGCTGTGAATTACCAATAGCAAACACGGATAGATGTGCTCTGCCATCAGACTGTAGAAAACCATGAGTTTCAAGCTAAGGGTTGGATTCCCCATTTAAATGATTTTATTCTGAATGGCTATAGAGGGGGAGAATTTCTCAGAATTTCAAATTTCTCAGAGTGAGTGATTTTTCGCCTTTAACCACTAAATCAGGCCAGTGGAGCCAAAGCAGAACACACTGGTTCTTAGCATCCAGGCAAAGGCGCTAGAGAGTGGTCCATCAGCCATGCTTGCTTGGTAAACATGGGTGGCCCTGCTCACATGGAGCAGGTTCACACTAAGTACGCTTGGTTCTGGGGAAGTTGTAGGAACCGACTTAAGACTAAAATATGTATTAACCTAATGAGCAGCATGGGAAACAAAAACATTTTCCAGGGTGGCCAGATTTATGAGTGTATCTATATTTTAAGATTTTTTTAGCCTCCATCTAACTGTTACTCCACTGCTGGGTATAGAATTTTAAAGATTGAGGGGCTGGGGATTTAGCTCAGCGGCAAAGCGCCTGCCTGGCAAGCGCAAGGTC